GCAGTCCGGCAAGCACATTGGAAAGCTCGTCATTGTCCCCAGTGAGAAAGACGTTGTTGCCGTAGTTCAACCTCCCAAGCCTGCTGCCAAATTCAACTCGGAAGCCACATATGTTGTTTCTGGTGGATTCGGAGGTCTTGGACAGGAAATCATTCGGTGGATGGTCAAGCAGGGAGTGAAGAATTTGATTGTCACATCCAGAAGAGGAGCGGTTGATGAATCTGCCAAAGCACTTGTTGCTGAATTGCAGAGCCAGGGCGTGACCATTGCCACCCCTGCTTGCGACATTACCAGCAAAGACACCTTGGAGAGCGTCATCTCCTCTTGCCTTGCGCAGATGCCACCTGTACGAGGATGCATCCAAGCTTCCACTATTCTTAGCGTAAGTTGATTCACTTGCCTCACCCCCAATTACTTGAAGTTGTAGAGCTAACATAGATCATAGGACAACACCTTCAAGGGCATGAGCCTTGACGAGTGGCAGCGTACACTCAGTGTTAAGGTCGCTGGAACCAAGAACTTGTGGGAGACTCTGACCTCAAAGAACGAGGACGGCACCCTCGACTTCTTCATCATGCTCTCCTCTATGGCGTCCATCATCGGCAACCCAGGCCAGAGTAACTACGCTGCCGGCAACTCATACCAGGACGTCTTTGCCCGAACCCTCGCCGCAGAGGGCCACAACGTCGTCGCTCTCAATGTTCCCATGATGAACGACGCCGGCATGGTAGCCACCAAGCCCTTGCTGATGGAATACTTGTTCAACATTGGATGGTCCCACATGTCGGCCGAGGAACTCATTGCCGCCATCGACTACTACTCCCGCCCCGTTGGCCCGGACAACAAGGAAACACTTGCCAAGCAGGCTCAAGTTGTGCCCAGGCTCTGGCTCCCCAAGTACTCTGCTGCAGAGGGCGCCAGTCAGCCCGAGTGGCAGCACGAGCCACGATTCAACCATATGATCCTACACAACGGCGAGGATGGGGCAAACACCGGAAAGCAAGGAGGTGGAAAGGGATCGGCCGCTTCCGCTCTCTCTGCTGCCAAGACACAGTCAGAGGCTGAACAAATTGTCCTCGACGCCCTTCTAGAGAAACTCTCCAAAGTTCTGAGCGTCGATCTTGCTGAGCTTGACCCTGCCCGGCCTATGCACACTTATGGCGTCGATTCGCTCGTGGCGGTGGAACTGCGTACTTGGATGACAAAGGAGATTGGCTCGGATGTATCCGTCTTTGAAATTGTTGGTGGCCAACGCATTGGACAATTGGCTGCCAAAGCAGCTGGAATTTCGAGGTTTGTTTCTCTGTCATGAGAGACAGATTGCCCTCAAACATGTAGATAGCCGTTTGTCATTTTAGTTCAAGTCTTTCCCATTGTAGCCTTCTAGAATGATAAGAGATGCCCAATCATTCGAATGTCAAGATTTCCGCATCCTTCAACTCCATGTTTACGACTCGGAGATGATAAAAATGGCCGACATACAAAGACGTGCATATTAAAATAGGAAAGCTGCTCAGGCCTTGCAAGTTCTGGGTTAGCCATTTTTAAAGAGGCTCAAAACCAGTTGATGCATGTCGCCAAACGTGGATAGCATGACACCCAGTCCACGAATGACCAAAGATGGCCAGCTACCCGGGTTTCAAGCTCGCGCACGTGCCACGCTTCAATTCCGTCAGCGCCGCGTGATGGCATTGATAGATGCAAAAGCTCGAGAACTCTTTCGGGGCAGATACCCAACGTTAATCTCCCATTCTCGTAGACGGCGCGATGCAGCCGAAAGACGGGTTGAGAATGTTGGTAGGTGTGTTTGCAGGTCAGAGCAAGTGCAAAGTGAGAGAAGGGTGCGTGCAGTGGATCCCAATTTGGCTGAATTCGGGAACAAGCATTCCGAGTGGAGAGGACATTGCAGACAGCCCTGGAATAACGATTTGGCGATTCCGGCTCGAGGGTCTATTCCTGGGTATGGAGGGGAAATGAGGGCTGACGCCATAAGCAAATGAAAACGCAAGACCAACAAGGTATTCTCCACATGCCGAACCGAGATAGGATTGTTTTGACACTGGCAAGAGTCAAGCTACCCTAAACACGCGTTGGTTGATCAACAGAACAAATATATAATTTGAGCTTCCTCAATGAATAGCATGTATTATTGGTAGAGAAATGACTATTCAGAGCTATAGTACATGTTCTTTAATCATTTCATCGAGTTTCTTTTTGTCTGCTAAACTACCGATCATAAGTTCTCTTTGATCGCTGGTAGATATATAATTAAATAAGGACAAGTTTGCACAAACGATATGCCTGAGAGCGAGCTTCTAATAATAGCATTGAGATACACACTAAGTGGGTCTTATAAACCCTGATTGGCTGTTTTGACATATTTCTGTTCTTTCCTATTGGTCAAATGGTTATTTTAGCCTCTTCTCACCGCTTGCTTCTTTTATACGTGTGATGCTTCTGAACAGCCTGTCTTCTGACGCGATGGTCAATTGCTACGAAGCTGACATAGTGGCTGCCGTCAAGACTGAACGAGCGGTAGAAAAAGCGTCGCTTACTTTAGGGCTACTTTTCACGCACTTACTTGTCATGACTTTTACTAATTCTCGTGGTTTGATCAAGGGTTGAGGGCCTTCATCATCACATTCGCTTTTCCGTGGGCGGGCGCGTTCATCTGGATCTGCCAGGGGCAAAAGAGGTTGACCAATGAGAGCGCGCAGATAAATGGGCCCGACTGACGCGTGAAGTCTATCACGAAATAAACAATGTCGCGATTAGAGTGATATCTTGTAGCATCAAGCAAGTCAATTGCAAACTTACAGCAACCAAGCATTCACTCGTCTTGACTCCTCCAGGCTCTGCCTTTTTTTATTCTGACAGTACCAGTATACGTGAGAGGCACCTGAGCTTGAGCGGGTAACATAGTGAATGAGGTTTTCTCTAAGCAATTAAGTGTAATTAGTTAACTAGATACCCTCTATCCTAGATATAAAATTGACTTGATTGAGTGAATGATTGGATGGATGCCTACTATCCAACAACTGGCTATGTTCTTGGAAATCTCTCTTCATTATTGTTGCTGATCAGCCTTCTGGGGAGCTTCTACAACTGTCAAAAACAATGAAAGAAGTTTCTTATGGATGACTAATTCTTGACTCAATTTTCTTCGCGCAGTATCTCAGATTCTTCCTTCTCCATTGAATACTAAACTAATAATAATCTTGCGCGATAGTTTCACGCTACATGCACTGGACATTGAGAGTTGAGGGCTTCACAAGGGAGCTCTGATGGCCTTGGGGGGTGTTTTATTGTTTACCTCACCATGCAGTGTCATTGACAGTAGCTGTCCCGATCTCTGTTGCTTGCGGATATTATGTCAATTTAGCCTAGCTGGTTTGGCGTTACCCTTTGACCTTCAACTTTGCACAGGAACAGGAAATTGGAAGGGTTCGACCAGGCGAACATCATGCAGTATACCATTTAAGCTGGACTGTAACAGTGCGTTTTGGTATTAATGTGTTCTCAATGATGACGATGGACTTGTATGTTTGCTGTTGAGACTTGAAGCTGTTTCTGAGCGAATATCAAATTTACCGGTAGGGATGGAACTACTGTGAGGATGATATTTAGTAGCTGTTCTATTTTAAACTAAGTGCTAGTGGGGGTTATTGATGAAATTATCTCTGCTATTACGTAGGCGATACAATTTGTATCTGTAACTACTGGACATTACTCTATGCCAGAATGGTTCAATGTTGTCCAATATTGTACCGAGGGCGACAAGCGTGTGTTGTTTGATACGGTTCAGATACCTGTTGGTTGATTGATGCGTGGCCGCCATGGCAATTGTCATGTTTACATACCTGATATAGTTCCACTGCTCGAGCGATTGAACCTTGCGTAATGACGGGATATATTCACCACATCCTCGTCTCATACATAGGCGAAACCTTGATGGACAGCCGTGACGATTCAAATCCTGAAGACAGCACATTGCGGACATATCCAAGACCTGTCGCTCAAAGACGAAGCCCACTCAACAGCGAGGTCAGTTTTGAGCCTGCCTGATGAGTTATTAATCGGACCCTCTTTCCATAACCCTCACGTCGTCTGGTTCCAGTCCCGGCTTGTGGAGCTGGCAAATGGCTTGTGATCAAGAGGGGATTTATGGAGAGGATTAGGTTATATGTGACCGTCTATTAACGAGGGACTCGTCATTGTAGGCATTTTTTGAGAGCATAGTCATCACTTCATCTGTGGGAACCGACTCCATGGTATCGGTCCGTTTTGTAGAAATGCATTCAGTACCACCTCCCCACCTTTCTAGACGCCTGCTAACATAGATAAGCTTAACATGCATGGATGAATACCATACACGAGCGACAAACTGAGTCTAGTTTAGCCGACGTATTTCTAATGGTTATTAAACGAAGAAGTACGAACCGGGCTCAGGAATGCAAGGATAAGTGATCGCAAAGTGGAGGCTATGGTAATGGCTCTGGAGAAATACGGGAGAAATACCACCATTAATTGTGGGATACACGCAATGCTTCGTTCCATCGGGGCAAATTCTTTTAAAACAGGGTAATTACTGGGTGAGTTAGAGACGTATCATTACTAAAGTGGTTCGACGTTGCCAAGTTTATTGTCCCCCCGCCCTTCCGGAGCCCACAAAACACATTACGTATGGTTCTTCCTCCGCTGCTAAGCATCTCCACCGCCGCCTGGGGATGTATTGAATAGGTCACGGTCTCCGAGTGGAGGTTGTGCGGGTGAATCGTTGAGCTTGGGGCAAGGGATGAAGGTGGCTCTCACTCCACAATTTGACCGAGTGGAAGAACTAGGGCTTCCTTGGGCATTGGAAGAACTGGATGAAGATCTGCTGGATGGGATGAGAGAATTTCTAAAGTCAGAGAGCATAAGAGGATAAGTTTATCGCCTTTTAGCTCCGGGAGAGAGGCTTGTCTGGGTGCCTGATTCTTGGATAGAAAGACACTGAAATCATGTTCATTAGTTTGCTACTCGTTGTGGCCTCGGCTGCAACAACTTTGGCCGATTCTAATGATACTAGGAGGGAATATTTCGATAGTCTTGAGCGGTTCTGGAGCTATGAGAGATCGCCTCCTGTCTACCCTTCACGTGAGTGAAATCTGTTGTTCATCCACTAGAATGGGTCCTTGCTAACGCCTTGTCTTCAAGCCGAGGCTTCTGGTCGTGGTGACTGGCAAGAGGCATGGAGCTATGCCACAGACCTAGTATCTCAAATGACACTAGAGGAAAAAGTCAACCTTACATACGGCTACACCACCGAGGCCAATGGTTGTAACGGCAAGATTGCCCCTATCCCTCGCCTGGGTTTCAAAGGACTCTGCATGAACAATGCCGGGAACGGTGTTGGTGGTAATGAGGGTTCTTATGCGTATCCTGCCGCTCTGCATGTTGGCGCATCATGGAATCGTCAACTTGCATATGACCGCGCCCTCTACATGGGCCGAGAGTTCAAAAAAAAGGGCGTCAACGTCGCTCTGGGGCCTTCCACAGGACCTCTGGGCCGTATCCCAAAGGGTGGGCGAAACTGGGAGGCTCCTAGCAACGACCCCTATCTCTCCGGCGTTCTGACCTATGAGACTACCGTCGGCTTGCAAAGGTCGGTCATGGCATGTGTGAAACACCTAATCGGAAACGAACAAGAGACGAGTCGCAAGGCGCCTCGGAAGTTTGAGAATGACGAGACTCACCCATCTTATTACAACGCTTCTATTTCCTCCAATATCGATGACAAAACGATGCATGAGCTCTACCTTTGGCCATTTTATGACTCAATCAGAGCGGGCGCAGGCTCTGTCATGTGCGCATACCAGAGAGTCAACAATAGCTATTCGTGCCAGAACAGCAAGGTCCTGAATGGTCTCCTCAAATCGGAGATGGCCTTTGAGGGCTTCGTTGTCTCTGACTGGTACGAGCACAAGAGCGGAGTCGGAAGTGCTAATGCAGGACTTGACGTTGTAATGCCAGTGGCGCCTCTCTGGCAAGATGGCCTGCTGGTGGAAATGGTCAGGAATGGTTCCGTTAGTGAGGCGCGCGTCGATGAAATGGTCAAACGTGTCGTCGCCGCTGCCTGGCGGTTTGCGGACTTTGATGCAGGAACGGGAATCTCATTCAATCTCACGCAGGCACACTCTTTCGTTGACGCTCGTGATTCATCCTCCAAGCACACTCTTCTCCAGGGAGCTGTGGAGGGCCACGTTCTTGTCAAGAATGTCAAGAATGCTCTCCCGCTGCAGAAGCCTAGATTCGTTTCCGTTTTTGGTTATGACGCCGTGGTGAACATGCGACACACAGCAGAAGGTCTTGGATTCAACACCTGGAAGATGGGTCTTGCTGGCTCCCAGAGGTTCGTGAACGGCAGTGTGTTGACGAATGAAATGCTCGACTACCTCTTTGCCTCGAGTGCCGAGCAGACCGTGACTGGCCCAGAGATTGCTCTTAATGGCACTCTTACTACTGGCGGAGGGTCCGGTGCTTCCATCGGCTCGAACATTGACGCACCTCTTGACGCAATCCGTCGCCGGGCCTACGAAGATGACACAGCCTTGGCATGGGATGTACAAAGCCCTGCTCCTCTCGTCAATAAAGCCTCTGAGGTATGCCTCGTTTTCATCAATGCCCAGGCGTCTGAGAATTGGGACCGCAAGAACCTCACAGACTCATATTCGGATAACATTGTGAATACCGTCGCCAATCAGTGCAACAACACAATGGTCATCATTCACACAGCTGGTGTCCGTTTGGTAGATGCATGGTATGATCATCCCAATGTGACAGCTATCATCTATGGCCATCTGCCAGGGCAAGACTCTGGCTGGGCCCTAGTAGAGATTTTATATGGAAAACAGGCCCCCTCTGGACGTATGCCATACACCGTCGCCAAGAAGGAGAGTGACTACGGTGTGATGCTTGACCCCGATTTCCCTAGTGAGGACACGCCTTATTATCCACAGTCAAATTTCACCGAGGGCATCTACATCGACTATAAGCATTTTGAGAAACATTCCATCGAGCCTCGCTTCCCATTCGGCTTCGGTCTAACGTACTCCGAGTTTGAATACTCAAACCTCCGGATCCACGTAAACCAAAACAAGACAGACTCCCGCCTACCACCAAATCCGGAGACCATCCTCCCCGGAGGCATCTCACTCTGGGACAAAGTGGCAGAAATCCGAGTCGAAGTTGCGAATACGGGTGCTGTCGCAGCCGCCGAGGTGGCGCAGCTCTATCTCGGTATTCCTGGAGGAGCCAAGAAGGTCCTTCGAGGGTTTGAGAAACAACTTCTCAACCCGGGATCACAATCACTCATTTCATTTCCTTTGACAAGAAGAGACTTGAGCACCTGGGATATCGTGGAGCAGCAGTGGGTGTTGCAAAGCGGCACATACAAGGTGTATGTTGGCAAGAGTGTGACGGATATACAGCTGACAGGGGAGTTTACGATTTGACCCTGACGTTATAGATACTTCGATAATGTAGAATAAATATGTGTCTGAACTTTGTTTGGAAATTCAACTTCTTTGGCCTCCGCTTGGCGATTAGTATACTTGAAGATATGAAATTGACTTGACGTCTTAACCAGGACTTGCTCTCTCATAGATGTAAGATGTGCGGGGTTTGACTCTCAAGGGAAACCAAATTAGATCACTCCGTAATCCTAATGACACTGTGTACTAGCTATTGCATCTTCATTCTGTCTGAGATATTATCTCAGGTGGCTACGATATCACTCATGGCCGTCCGCCCAGCCAGCGGTTCCATATGCTTGCAACTCCTTATCAGTCCACTCCCACAAAGCTGTCGATAGAGCATCGTCTCGAGCGAGCTTGCTTTCCTTCCCCGCTTTCCCAATCGGTTCATAGTAACATCCGCTCTTTGCATCCTTGCTGAAGCTACACCAGAGCTGTGTCTTGGCGCCCTCGTCGTTGGACACACCTGTCAAAGCAACAACGGGTTTAACAATGGCATTTGCAATTAGCCAGTTTACATTCTTGTCTCCGTTCCATACACCAGATTTCACTGTTCCCGGATGCAAAGATGTTGCGGTGATCTGTGGATAGCGCTTTGCAAATTCGTAGGCAAACAGTGCTTTAGCGAGCATCGACTGGGCATAGAGTTCTGCCCCTCCGTGGCTTCCCATGTCGGTTTTGAGCTCTCCAAAAACGATGCCTTTGTTTGGAGCGAAGAGCTTATGGCCAATGGACGACATAGAAACGATCCTGACATCAGTCCCAGGGATACCGGCGGTTTTGAGCATTGTTGGGAGCAGGAGTTGAGTAAGAAGCACGTGACCCATATAATTTGTGCCAAACTGAAGCTCATAGCCCTCGAGAGTGGTTGCGGCCGGGACCATACCAACGCCTCCATTAAGTTGTAGAAGGTCAAGTCGATCCGTTTCCCCGATGACGCGGGCTGCGGCGGCTTGTACAGATGCAAACGATGCAAGATCTAGGTCCAAGACCTGAATGTTTGCTTCCGCAGTAGCCGGCGATGTTGCCTTTATGCGAGACACGGCTGCTTCGCCCCTGGGACGCGAGCGAGCTGCAAGATAGATCAATTTTGGATTGTGCTTGGCGAGCGCTGTGACTGTGGCTTCTCCCAAGCCGGAGTTTCCACCTGTGACAAGGCAGACTTTGCTACTAAGATCTGGGATGTCGATCTCAGGGTTGAAAGTTTGGGAGCCAGCCCAACAATTATGAGAGTGTTTGGCCATGAGTAGAAATATAACAATATTCTTGTGTTCAAGGTATGTAGATATCAATGAAATTTAGAACATGCCCGTAGCTACATTAGATGGAGCAATAGGCTCCTTTTATAGATATTCCAGGCTCCAAGAAAGCGGCACAGCAAGCAGATCCACGGGCTACTTGCAAAAAACCATATCCGGTTCAAAGTTGAGTGAATCGTTGCTGGTAAGAGGAGAAATCGTGTTTGTACAGTCGCTTAGAGATATCTTGACCATCGTCAACGTCTCAAAGCCATGATGGAGTGGGCCCGTCGTTGATAACCATCACGACTTTACCAAAAGAGGTAAACAGTCGACTCCTTCGCGCGAAAAGTCGGGCAAATGTTCTGCCATCCTGCAGTAGAAGGCCAATCAGAACTTTAGTCCGGCCCCTGTCATGGATCATACCGTGTTTTGAAGCTAACCCCTCTCCTCACCTTAGTGAGCAGCAAAACATGTGACTGGAGACCACTGTAGTGTATGGACTGTAAACGTCATTTAACGCTCTGATAATTACATCGAAACCGCTGCATGATGGCACGGGCGCATCGGCATTTTGAGTTCATAAACGTGTCACCAAAGGCTCATGGAAAGCCACAGACAGCTGAACGGAGAAAGATTCGGAGCCACTGTATGCGCGGTAGGAATCGACGAAACACTCCCGCGTGGCTGCCCGAGAATGATATATTTCGAGACCGTCCCGTTGTAGAACCAAATGCATCGTTGCCGCCTTATGAGCAGGAGGATGGTCAATTTCCTACCGCGACATGTGTGAAGTCGCCGCTACTTTCACTCCCTTGCTTGGTTGATTTCGCTGTTGAAGTTGATAACGAGTCCTTGGGACTGCTCGCTACTGGTAAAATTCTCCTAGCCCGCCTTGTGGAGTTGAACAGCCAAAAGCTGAATGGATGCAGTTTTCCCTGGCGCCATGAGCGCCTTTTCTCTTGCTCGGTTTCGCTTACCGTCTCACTTCAGATCATCCCAATGGAGCGATTGGCTGTTGTCAGATAGGGCCTATGTGTATTCCATCGTTGCCGTATGCGCAGTCATTCAAGACTTCCTTCTGGAAACTCAGCGATCAAAGCATACAGCGCTTTGCATTAGAACAGCCGTCTCTCAGCTCAACGAAAGACTCTCGAGCCACAACAACTCGCTATCAGACGCCAGCATTGCCAACGTCATTGCTCTGACCCTGGCGGCTTTAGTGACAAATGACCATCTCGCTATGACTATCCACGGAAATGGATTGCGGCGAATGGTGTATCTGCGGGGAGGTTTCGAAAGCTTTCGCGGTAATCCGCAGATACTAGTTGTACTCTCTCGGTAAGATATATATCCGAAATCAAATCGATGGATTGAGCTTATATTACTTAGGATTGATTTATGTGTGACACTCAGCTCTGGACAGGGGCCCTACTTTCCTCAGCGTGACCCAGTTGGCCTTGTTTACAGCCTGCTCAAGCCCCATCCGCAGGCATATCTGTCACTTTATTCACAGCAACCAGTTATTCATATTTTGGACGCACGACTGGTTCCCATTTTCCTAGACCTACAGTACTTGGCGTGGCGAATTAATACGGCGAACAACGCCCAATATGAAGGGATACAGGAATACGAGGTCCATGCTGGCATCTTTGTGGCGCAGTATAGACTCTGGAAACTGCAGGGAACGATGTCTGATATCCTCGGAGAATGTCTGCGTGTTGCAATGCTCGGCTTTTTAACTACGACGTTTAGCCTCATGAATAGTCGTATTAAATACGACTATGCCACTGACCAGTTAAGAGTTCTGTGCTGCGCCATCGAGGTGTCAACACAACAGCTTCGCCCAGTCATGTTGTGGGTACTGATGATTGGGACGCTGGCCTTCTTTGACCCAGATGAAGAATGGCTTCGCGAGAAGTGGCGATCGGGAGTACTTCCGCTTATACAAGAATTGCAATGGAGGGAAGTGCGAGAATATCTAAAAGGCTTTCTGTGGATAGACTCTTGCAATGATAGCAAGGGCCAAATTCTCTTTGAGAAACTAGGACAATTAGCCAGAGCTAGCTAGCATAACCAGCAGAGGTATTTCTGACAATGACTTAACAATTGAGTAGAATAGTGGCTTTAATAAGTTGAAGCTTAAAATAATTGTTGGAGTACTGAGAAGTAAGAATATCCATGTTATACTTGGCTAGTGTGTAAGGTTTGAAATTCTTGTAGATTAAGCATGTTACTCCAGACGTGGCTTAGAATGGCTTCTGTGACAATAGACGAGCTGCGACTTAAGTGCCGCCATGCAAGGGTTCGTCGCGATGTAAATCGCTTGGCATCACTGGAGATGCAGAGTTGAACGCCCTCTAACGGAAGTTCCTCATAAATAAATTGAGACATCTACTCAGCCGCTTTAGTGTCATCGTGAATTGATGAATTAAGAGGTATTATACTTCGAGCAAATTTCTTCTATCTAGACAATACTAAGCAGAAGCTTTGGTGATAGAAGCAAGCACCTTCTCCGTCGCTGCGAACCTATCACCCTGCCTGAATGGATCATCGTGGAGGTCCTTGTCCTTTGGCTTGTCAAAATCCAGATCTGGCTTGAGGTACCCATGCTTCTTTGCCTCGAGAAACTCGACCGTGCTATATGTGACATTTGGGTCTAGCGGCTTATCCTTGCCCAGCCTCTTGAGCACAGGAGAGTTTTGGAACGGAGCCAGAGGGAAGTCGTCATTCGGGCGTGAGAAGTAGTAAATGCCAACTCGCAAACAGCCAACTTGGTCCTTGGGAGGCGTGACGACCCTATGGATTGTAGCTGGGAAGAGCCCGCCCGTGAGCAGCTCCAGTGCTTGACCAACGTTAACGATGAGAGTGTACGGCTTATACTATCGTGGCGTCAGAAAGACCAGTCATTAGATCTGCCGCGACTCATGATACACACCTCAACCCACTTGAAGACGTTGGACTTATGCAGGATCTGTAAGGCAGAGACTGGCTGCGAAAAGAGGATGGAGAAGGTACCCCAGTCCGCGTGTGCCGGCATGAAGAGACCACGCGCCTTGGCCGTAGCTTCTGGAGTTAAAGGTGCGTAGCTCATCTGATAGCTATGAGTTTCTTCCTTCATTCAAGGTTTGATTCACATACATAACGGTAATATTCGGAGCTCGACTGTCCAGGTGCATGGGTAGCCATGAGTTCATCGACGGGTATCTCGAGACATATAGCTAGCAGGATGAATAGCTTCTTCTGGATATCATCGCGGACGTGGAGCATGACCTTTCGGATTTCATCAAGGTACGGAACTAGATGAGGAGGGTGCTTTCGGTCTGTTTTGCCGTCTTGATAGAGCATGTTGTAAAAGTCGATCTTGAGACTGTGAGTGTCTGACTACGTGGTGAAGGGGTAGAGTAGAGATTGACTCACTTCTTTGTGAAAACCAAGTCCTCCGGCAGTCTTGAAACCCACGTAGATGCCCTGTTTGTCTTCCTCCGGCGTGACTAGACGATATCAGAAGTGTACTTGTTGCAACTCGAAAGAAATTTACCTTCAAAAGGAACCTTTGCTTTGGGATCCATAGTCATTGTAGCGTTGCAGAGGTCCATCTGCTGATCCCAGGTCTCTTTCGAGATGCCATGGCCAGAGACAGTGACGAATCCCTCCTGCGTGAAAGCCTCGTAGAACTGCCGCGCGAGTTGCTTCCTTGACTCAGGGTTGTCGAAATCTGACAAGTCTAGGTTGGATAATTCAATGTAATCCACTGATATCAATTCAGTCAGCAATGGCCGTATTCTGTCTGCCAATACTACTAACGGTTCTCCTTTGTCACTGGAGCTGGGATCCACTTGGGGATCGGGGGGAGAGTAGTATTGGTCATCTTGTTATGGGCGAAAGGTCTAGACTCTTGCAAATTCGCGTAATCTGGGGTATGTCTACTAGTCATGGAGATTGCTTCGTACTTATAATGCTCGTCAATTCAACGTGCCAATGAGCAGCATCTCCCCGCAAGAGACGTCTCCCTCCACTTAAGACCTCCACCTCCACCCAACCTTGGCGCTTCGCAGAGACGATCTAGTGGTGGAGCTCCATCGTCAGAAGAAAGTTAGGGGAAGAGATAGCAGTGGAGGGAGTAGCTTGTGGAGCTCCGCTAGATAACGTTAACGTGATTCAGACGGCAAAGTATATCCACATCGCAAGTTTGCTCTCGTGAATCTTATCGAGGATGATGAATTATGCTCTCTGGCCCACCACAATCTGGGGATAGGTTCTGGGGTATGCTATCTCATGCAGATATGAGATGTCATCCGCTTAGCTCCCGAAGTGCCTATAAGAAGATACAAGAAAGCAACTCTCGAGCTGACAACAAGGCCAGCACCACAGCTCTCACTCACTCATCTTACTCGTCTACTCACCCATTGTCACCCATATTGTTTTGTCCTTGTTGCCTGTTGACATCATGTCTGCAAAGGCCACGGGAGTCGACCTGCCAGAGATTGGCCCTTCTCTGAGCAATCGGGCGGGCTCTATGACGGAGAAGCCTGTGATGTCTCGTGACATCGACCCTGCCTTGGCTGTGACTGGTGGCGAGGTTCTTGACTTTACTCCCGAAGAAGAGAAGACGGTTCTCTCCAAAATCGATTGGCACATCATGCCGCTTATGTGCTGGGTGTACGCTATCCAGTTCGCCGACAAGATTAGTCTCAATTACGCGTCACTCATGGGCATCCGCGACGACACCCGCCTCGATCCAAAGTCGCAGCAATACAGTTGGGTGTCTAGCATCTTTTATGCTGGATACATTCTATGGGAGTACGCCTGCTATTGCCATCCCCAATACGTAATGTAATGACAGATATTAACGGCAACACAGGTTTCCGACAACATACCTCCTCCGTCGGCTACCTATTGGCAAATACACCTCGGCTAACATTGTTCTCTGGGGTGTTATTCTTACTCTCCATGCTGTTGCGTCTGATTATGCTGGCCTCCTTACCGTCCGCTTCCTCCTGGGTGTGTTCGAGGCAACAGTGACACCATCCTTTGTTATTATAACATCTATGTGGTATCGCAAGACTGAACAGGGTCGACGAACCGGTTACTGGCTGAGCTGTAATGGTATCACGCTCATTGTCATGGCCGGCGTTGGATACGGGCTCTCAGCGATAACAGATGCCGCTGTCGCCTCGTGGAAGATTTTGTTCCTTATTTTAGGTCTTTTAACAGTCGCTACGGGGGTGGTTTGCTACTTCTATATGCCGGACTCCCTCCTCAACGCGTGGTTTCTTTCGCCTAGGCAGAAAGCCATTGCTGGCCAGCGCCTGAAGGACAACTTCCAGGGAATGGGAGATCGTGTTTGGAAGTGGTATCAGTTCCGAGAAGCATTCAAGGACCCTAGGACATATCTCTATGTTCTTTTCTCGCTGCTTATGAACATCCCTAACGGTGGTATCACCACATTTGGTGCCCTGACTATCAGTTCTTTTGGCTTCAACAGCAGACTGTCCCTCGTTCTTGGTGCCCCTTCAGGTATCTTCGACACTGGAGGCAAGCTGATTTTTACTTGGCTATCGGATAAGTACCAGTCGCGCAGCTTGATAGCTTTTATCGCTATTCTCTTCCCTATGGTCGGCGGCATCCTCATGATTGTCCTTCCGCAGACTGCCAAGGCCGGTCTGCTGATTGGATATTACATGATCAGCGTCTCTGGATCCGCTTGGGGGCTTGTTATGGTGATGATTTCTAATAACACCCTGGGCTATACCAAGAAGGCTACTGTCAATGGTCTCCAGATCCTCGCTTATGGAGCCGGCAACTGGATTGGGCCACAGACCTTCCGTAGTAACGAGGCCCCCGAATACAGGAGCGGGAAGATGATGGTGGCTATTATGTATGGTATCTCGGCAGTGGTTCTACTCTTGATTCGATTTGTGAATGTCCTTGAGAATAAGAGACGGGATCGGCTACAGGCGGAGAGCGGAACGACTGACATGACTGAGGAGGCTGAGAGGGCTAAGTTTCTGGATCTGACTGATTTTGAGCAGCCGCACTTCAGGTATATCCTCTAATGCTGTGCGGGCGCAATGCCGTTTCTTGGCAGCGGTGGACATGTACACGATAGTAGCACCATAGCTGAACCAGGGCAAATACGTGCAATCAGTTCCCCAGGCCTAGTTACACTTTGGCTTGGATGGATTATATAGCAATGGTGGTAAAAAGGTGTGTCTGAACTTATGACAATATCCCAGAATTAGATGTTGAATTTCGAGTGTCAACCTCCTTATTACAGTCCTTAGCCTAGGGTTGGACCTCCGTGATGGTGCGGGGTTCAAGACATCTGGGCAATTAGGGTGAGATATTTCGCAAGGCAAACGCACGCACACTTGTGCGAGGCTCATATTCAGAGCACACCATCACCACCTGTTGCAAAATGACACCAATAAACATACCCCCAGCCTCAGAGAGCCAACTCTATGCCCCTCTCAGCATCAGCCAAAAAGAGATCCGTCTTTTACGCATCGCCCCGTATGATGCTGATGATGTGTTCTCCATCTGCCATTGCGCGATGTTCACTGTGTCACTGGCACATCAGCCTCAACCAAGGTACAACGCCTTCTCGTACGAGTGGAACTACGGTGTGGATGTCCCGGAGATTGGCAAGGCTGTCATGGTCAATGGCCATCGCATCGAGGTGACGCGGAATTTGGCCGCTCTGTTGACCCGGTTCCGTAACATCACCCAGGCTGTGCCCAACTCGGAAATGTTTCAGCTCCCGATATGGATCGACGCGCTGTGCATTGACCAGAGTAATTCGGATGAGAGGAGTGTCCAGGTTGGGCTCATGGGAGTCATTTACAGCCGTGCGCAGGCCACGTTTACATATCTAGGCGAGGATGAGAATGGTAGCGACTATGCCATGCCCATCCTTGCAGAAATCGGCAGCAAGATTCTTCAGACTATGAAGACGGACGATATGGCCTGGGTAAAGCCCGACGAGCAGCCCGAGCTGTGGCAGTCGGACCAAGCCGAAGGCGGTGGATTTTTGAATCGGTTCTGGACAAGTGCAGGTGCTATCATGAAGCGTTCGTACTGGAGGAGGGCATGGATCGTACAGGAGATTCTTTTACAGAATAACGTCATAGTCTTCTGTGGCAAGAATATCATGCATTACCACCAGCTCAATGCTGTCTACTACTGGCTCCGTCGCATCCAAGGCAGACCCTGCCCTCCTCTGGTCAACGTTGAGCTTTGGCGACTTTTGTCTACCAAGGTGGGCTGGTATTCGATGGGCTGGAATAGGTTTGTTCAGCGTCGAAGAGTTACGCCGTCGAAAGAAACAAAGGGAAACCAGGATGCAGCATCCAAGAGGGAGCAGCATTTACAGTGGAAGGCATGGATCCTTTCCACTGTCGACCAGCAGGCCACGGATCCCCGGGATCATCTCTACAGTGTCCTTGGACTTGTCGGTATTGGATCACTGCAACCCAACTACTCTGCCTCTGTGGAAAACGTCTTCTATGATTTTGCAACTACAAGCATTGAGGTGGAAGAAAGCCTCGGCATACTCTCTTACGCTGGGCATTGGGAGCTGCCACCACCAGATGTGGACAACAAAACACTGCCGATGCACTTGTTTGTTCCGTCCTGGGTCCCTAACTGGGATCAAATCTCTAAAATGTACAACTTCACCTGGATACTGAGCGGAACGGACCAGGCAGATAAAGGCTGGGCGTCCATTCATGTCCCCTTTAATGGGAACGTTGCCTGGTCGGTAGATGGCAAATCTCTCATTTCGCAGGGGATATCTTTTGACATTGTGGCTCAGACTGAGCTTTGCGACGTTGACGACGGGAGCTGGCTGTCATTCTGCCACACATATATGAGTGCACGTGGTGGCCAACCGTACCCAGACGGTATCCCACCTCTCCAGGCACTCGCGCGCTTCGTTCTCCGCGGCCGGAAGTTTGCGAGCAACGAACTTCTCGAGCGTAATTCAGATGTTGAGACCACCCTTCTCTCGGTAATCCCAGCCATGCTGGCAACATTCTACACTGGGAATAGTACCAGCGCTGTGGCCGAAATTAAACACGCCCAAGAAAAGTTTGGTATATCTACCCCTCATGGAATCACAGAGAAGTTTATTGGGCGTCCTTTGAGTGCTGTTGCACAAGAACTCGTTGGGGCCCTTCTGCGTCTGACAAGTAGGACGGAGGAGCTGACGCGGAGTCTTGAGTCCGATAGGAACTTTGACCCTTTAGTTCCGGACAGTGTGAACTATCGAAATGGCATCTCTAGTGGAATGCGGGAACATGTCGCGTTCGTGACACGCAAGGGATACATCGGCTGGGCCCGCAAGGGCTTGCAGGATGGCGATTCCGTTTGCGTCTTGGCAGGGTGTCCGGTACCTTTGCTCTTGCGGGAGATGAATGATCGCAACATAAATATAGGGCCGTGTTATGTCGAAGGCCTAATGCATGGGGAGGCGGCGGTGGCAGTTGCGGAGAATACGGCGCGTATTGGTATATTTCACATTGTATAGAAACAAGCTACTTGCTTTTCTTGTCACTGCAAGCAAGCTTGTACGGGTGAGCCTTTCAAATGACTGCCACTTCCCGTAGATTTTTAGTAGGATTCTTAGTATGTTATGAAATATAGCTTTATATTAGAAAGCTGCACAAGGATTGGGGCGTGTGTGATGTTTGCGTGACTTTGTCAGAGACCTCAGGCGACTGAAGCCACCTTGATGTTCCTATATGGGAGGATCTATAGGAGAAGTTGTCAAAAGAGCTTGCGCCAGTTGATTTGCTTTATCCTTCAAATAACAAGCGGAAGTCGTTTCTGGCCAACTGAATCTCTCTGTATCTTACGTCGACGATAGTGCATTTTTCGGTCCATCAGGGCGTTCTCTCTCATCTACCTCCTGGGGCCAGTGACGGTACAACCCGCCAATGACGCCAATAACGCCGATGACGCTGCCCAAGATGCATGCATGAGCTAGTTGCTGGGGCCGAGTGGAGCGTTTAGGGGCCAAGAGATTTTATAATAGGGAATCATTCTCGCCGAGCGTAAGTATTCTTTGAATCTGACGAAAAGACACATTCGACGTAAAATTCACGCCGGGTCCGCCACCCAAAACCGAAAGGGTATAAATACGAACGTCTTTCAGATTTTGTTTATTTACCTGCTGCTCTCCAAATTCATCTACACTCGGCTGTCATTGGTTTCGATGGCCCAATTATCATGGCTACATTAGCTGAAGGAATTCCCACCCTGACAGGCAGCTGCCTTTGCGGCTCAATAAAATACCAGGTCACTTTCCCTGAAGAATCCCAATGGCCGCCGCCTGTAAGTCTTTTTTACTTGATCTTTGTGTCCCCGATATTGCTAATCACGTTAAATGGCTTTCCAGTCTTCAGCATGCCAGTGTAAAATGTGCCGCAAATTTACCGCGTCTCTCATCGCACAATTCCTTGCCATCAAAATAGCCATGCTCACGCCAGAATTCAGTACATTTGACACGTTCCGCGAGTACGAATCGTCTGTTGGAGTCTTTCGAGGATTTTGTATAGCGTGCGGGTCCTCACTCAGTTGGAGAAGTCTTTCTTTCCCTGATGTTGTTGACATCTTTATCGGTACTTTGGATGAGAAATGGCTCACAGAAAATGCATACGGGACTGCGAAGATCTTGGCAACGCCAAATGGATTTCAAGCATGGCTTCGTCATGCTATTGCTGATGTAACGAACCGCTTGGAGGGCGGGGTTAAGTATCTAGGGGGAGCGACAATGGAAGAAACACTGTAGTCAGGAAAGGCACGTGAAGATGATTTACAAATTGTTGCAATAGAAATGAGACATTTGTGCCTTTTCGGCCTTGATAAGAAATACAAGCATAATGCCCGGCAGCAAGTCATTATAACATGATGTGAGCTGTATTGGGCTTTGAGTTTAATTGTTCTCTATGGTGGAGTCATATACGAGGCTACCAGGGAAATGTTTTAGCCTAGGTAATTCAAGGATTCCTACTATGCATTACTCTGACATTTTTTTTCCTGTCCAAGGTTTATCAAGCTCGAGGGCGGTACACTATGCCAAGCTGGGTTGTACCGGGGATAATAGTGTCTAATTGGTCATGACTATTGCTCGATTGAGAATCAGCTGAAAGTTGACTAATATGCCTGCAACGAAGGATCCATGGGAGTCCAAGTCGCGTATTATGCTTTCCTCCTATGTACGCATGGGGGGCGGAAACATGCAGGCGGATTGGAGGCCTGACGTTTGAGTCTGTTTGAGTAGGGCGTAGTGGCCAGATAAAAGTTGCCTTATTGGGTGGATTGTAATGAAGTTATTTTCGAATGCCGAGCCAAATGGGAGGGGATGAAGGATTGGGCCAACCAAATCGGCCCGGTCGCAAGCTCGTGATCCTTTGGCCTCAATCGGGAGATGGCCGTTGCGCGCGGTTCGGCAGATACGGTTGCCTTACGTATTAATTACCGCGTCTTCGATTGCGGGTTGCCGGCAGGGGCAAATAGGCTGATGATTCTTCAGTGGTTTGGCAGACTTGGACCACCGCAGCTCCTTTCCCCATCGGGCAGGTGTTACTTATGCGTGTAAGAGGCTGTTGGGTCATGTACAGATGCGGACACAATGCTGCCAATCCTATGGTTAGTGGTTACTATATTCGGGTGTTTCAGAGTGCTGGGGACTATTACAGACATGCGCTCAACGATGTCACTAACCGCTGGTATGACATGAGGCAAGTCTAAGTACTTATATAAAGGAGTTTGCTTCGTTCCTGCCAAAAAAGAACCGAGTTGTGACCATCATCATAAGCATCTTATTTCATTTCTTCGAAGACTCAACTGGCGACAATGGTCAAGATCAGCCCTTACGTAGCCAAGGCTCTGGCTAGCATCGTCCTGCTGACGTACCATGCGGTCGATGCCAAGTCTGTCTACGCCCACTACATGGTAAGTATTCTGGAATAATACTGGATACACAATTACAGAAGTCTGATGATACATCCAAGATTGGAACCGTCACTGAAGGTAGCGGCCATGCGGAACTCGACATCGACCAGGCACAGGCTCTCGGCATCGAGGCCTTCGCCATGAACGTCGGCCAGCCAGGCCAGTCTTGGGCACAGTCCACAGTCAAGCAGCTGTTTGACAAGGCCGACCAGACCGGCTTTAAGCTCTTCTTCAGTCTCGACTTTTACCAGACTGGCGATGTCAACGCGTACACTGAGCTCGTCAGCAGTTACATCAACCGCGAGTCCTACCTTAAGGCCGGACCGGATAATCTGCCCGTCATCAGCACTTTCAGCGTCGGCGGCCTTAGCCCCCAGGACTTCCAGACCTGGATACAGAACAACTACAACGGCAAGGTCTACTTTCTCCCTAACGCCGACACATCCTCGGGCTACGACAATCCTGAGACGTGGTTTGGGCAGTGGGGCAGCGTTGTCAACGGCGTGTTTGGCTGGGAGTCTGCGTGGCCCGCCCCGGGTCAGACTCCTGCCAACGTCAGCGATGCCGTGGACACGGCCGTGCAAAACGCCGCCCACGCTGCCGGAAAGACCTACATGGCCCGTAAGTATCTGGTCCACGTTTAAAGCAATAAAAGGCTCACCTCGTCTATCTAGCGCTTTCTTCACTGCAGTTCAAGAAGTGCTGCGGCGGTAGCTACTACCGTATCGGAGAGGCCAACCTCCCTCAGCGCATGTCACAGCTCTTGGCTCTCAACCCAGACTTTGTCGAGGTCCTGACATGGGTAAGTTTCTAGTTTCCAGTTTCCCGTCATGCTAGCTAGCCACTTACCAGATAAAAGAACGACGCCGGCGAGAGCCACTACATCGGCAACAACTGGCCCGAGGGCTTGACCGAGGAAATTCTAGCCTACTCCAACACCGATATCTGGCCTCATTACGATTGGCAGCCTCTTATCGCCTCTTTCATCTCTGCGTATAAAGATGGCCGTGATGCATCTGGCATGACCCCTCCCGCGGGCTCCGAGGCTGTCGGTGCTATGTGGTACAGGCCTGTTCTCAAGGATGCTTCCTGCCAGAAGCCCGACAACTGGCAGTCCGCCATCGACGCCGTTAATTACGGCATCGTCGTTGGTACTGACGCCCCGGGTCTCACTATCCGCGTGATCAGTGGCGGCGAGGTTATCCGGGAGACAACCGCGCAGCCCGGCCTGAACTACGGTTCTGCCACTGGCATCAAGCCTGGCAAACAGGCTGTGGAGCTTGTCAAGGACGGCAACACCATCATGACTGCTGTCAGTTCTGTTGATGTCGTGGAGACAAACCAGGACTGTTTCTTCAACTTCCACGTTGTTGGCCTGAAATGATTGCCTCGTGGCGTGGGAGATAGATGGATTGGGATTACGGAGGATAAGCTCATAAACGCCGAGGATACGAATGGATGACCACCCAGCCTGAGCCGGTGGTGAACGAGTCTGCAAGGTATACAACCGTTTGTGTCCATGTGTCTGGCCATTGGTCCCCAATGAACATTTATGCTCAGGAATATTAGGAGTCTGTAATTCATCATTATAGCCTTGATCACTTTTGTATTTTAGTTCTACTTTCAAAGCACATATTATAACCTCTGGCGTACCTTCATACAACAGATTGGTACGTATCCTTGACTAGAGACTCCTGCGAGTTAATGTCTGAAGAACTTTCGGCGCTAGGCTCCTACTGACGCTCCATCGGCTAAAAGTAAAATCTGCGAATTCAGTCCTTTGCATTAACCAACTTCCAACCCCAGCCCTCGACCTTTGCGTACGCTCTGGGCCAGAACGTGATGTCAAGCTCCTGAGGCACCTCTGAATCTGCAGCCTTTCTTTCTATTCTCAGTTCCATTTTAGCCTCAAGGTGATCTTTGCAGTGATTTAGATCTACCCAGGACGTGAGGAGATCTCCATCCAGGATTCCAGCCTTTGCAGCCCTCGAGTCCGATCGTAGGCCTCTCACGATTCTAGGCCCTTGTAACACACTATCCTCGTCAAAACCAAGGTCGAAAGGCTCCATGTCAACACGGACGGCAACAGCTCCAGGTATCAGACTGTGCTCGGGGGGGATAATCAGCTTGCCGGAATTATGGTGCTCATATTCCTGGCGAGCTACAGGACCGAGATCCTGGTCCAGTCGCTCGAGGAACTCGGCAAGGGTTGGAGACTTTCCACGCGTTTTGAAAAGCTGCACCATCTCCACGACCAACTCGTCGACGCCGCGATGCCCGCCAGAAGCTTCGCGGATGAGTGCATCCAGGCGAATCCAGAAGACGAGACCACGTGAGTACGGCAAGCGCTGAGCGTTTTGCGTCTTCCACGTAAGCTTGTTCACCTCCTCATTCGATAATGTTGCCAAGGGACTAGTGTAGTACGCTTGGGCTCGGTAGTTCATCTCGTCGACAACGCCGTGCTCATCGAGCAAGCCTAGCCGGTGGCGTGCGAAGATGGAGTAATACTCTGCCAAACCCTCGGCATACCACTGCGCGCCATTGGCAATATCCTCACCCTCGGCAAGATTCGCAAAGTTGTGCGTCATCTCGTGAGCGAATAGCGTGGTGAAAGAGTCGAGGGCCCAGCCAGCTCGCTTCAGCAAAAGGCCAAAGGAGATGAGGAAGCCTCCGGGTTGGGCGAGGCCACTGCGGACAACGTAGTAGGGGTCCTCTCGAAAGAAGATGCGATATGACTCTCCAGGACACTGGAAAAACTCACACATATACTCGAAAATCTGCTTCGTCTCTTTCGCCACCTTTTGGATGTCGAATGGCAATTCGCTTTGCCAATATATGTTAAAGTATCCCAATCCGGAAGAGGCCACTGCATCATGATTATTTTCGTAGTCCTTCAAGTATTTAAGGCGCCCTAGCATGTAGAACGATTGGTGGAGGGTGGATGGCTTTGCGGTCAACCGTGCAGTGGACAGGTCTGGTGGGGAGTGGGTGAAGACGCCATGGAACCCTACCGGAGAGTAGCGCAAGTCAAAATCAACAGAGATAGTGAGTTTGTTCTCCCCATCTGCAGGGAGGGGAAGGAAGGCGTAGCCGGTGCCAATGATGCCGTTGTTGTCAGCGCGTAAGTCAAGGGCCGGGCCAGTCTTGGTGTCCAGCCCGACAACCCTGGGCAAAGGTGTCGCCAAAACGGTCACATTGCCATGCGTCGGCCTCGTAGTGATCCATCTCCGCCAAATGATGGGCGGGCCTTCCGGGTCGTCAGACTTTTCCAACTCAAGGAGGCCAGACTGATCAAAAGCTTTAATGGCATTGCCATCATATCTGGCGGTGGGAATCTTAGCTAGCTCAAGAGGCAGCTGCACCAAGACATCGCCAGAGTCCAGGGCAGGTTTTTTCAACACGACCTGGACAATCAAATGGGTAATTGTCTCGTGCAGGAGGCCGGGCGTAACGGTGACGGCCAAGTCTGCCTGGTCCAGCGCATGGTGTAGGGGAAGCTGCGTCATAGTGCTGAATGGTAGTCAGCCACAGGAGAGTTTCTTGGCGGGTGAGGAATTGCGCATATGCTCAACTCACTCTCGGTATTGGCTGGATGAGATTGAGCTGGCCTCTTATGAGCGCGGGCAGCATTAGGGAGTCGCAGGCTTTTGCGCGGCTTTACAAACCCAACTTTCCAGTATTGGGAATCAGGAACGCCCTCAGTGGATCATTGCTAGACACAGGCTTCATCTTCTTTCGCCCAGTCTGCCATCTTGCCGCGAAGCTCCTATCGAAACTACGTCTCGAAGTCTTCAGGAGGTCGACGGAGATCGTCGGTATGTCGCGCATGACGTTGCCGATTGTGGGGAAGAGGGTGCTCCGGACTACCCGATTGGGACATCTTTGCCGCCCTGCACCATTGATGCTTTCGAAGGCAGCAGAATAGCTGGCTGGTAATGAAGCTCACTCTAGGCAAACTTTCGATTATAGCTCTCTAAGGGTCGTGTGACTGCGCTCATTTTTATCTTCTGTCCTGCTTATGATGATGCCCGGGGATCTCACGTCAACCCAGCAAAGACCATCAGAGTCGCTTCGGAAATCATTATTCTCGCATGATGCCGATTTCTAGTCTCCAGCCTGATCTGAAATCAAGCTCCTCCTCCCGTCCTTCAAAGTCATGGTCGATCGCAGCGACCGGGGACCTCTTGGGAGATTTCATCGACAGTGCAGACACCGACACCCTCGAACTCTGGGACCTGGTGCGTTCCGCAGACCACGCCTTCTTCAACATGGAAGGCCAGGTCTTCCGTGACGCCGACTTTGATGGATATCCAGCATCCGAGAACGGAGCCGACAATGGCTGGGGAGGCGTTGGCTGGGGGCCAACCTACAACCCTGATCAGGTCCATCTTTTGGCTTCAGCAGGCTTCAATCTTGCTTCTCTAGCCAATAATCACGCATGGGACTATGAGGTGTTGGGAATGACGACAACGCGCAAGAATCTTCGCGACGCCGGTATACATTCTGCTGGTTGCGGCCTGTCTCTTGCCGAAGCCCAACAGGCAACGTACGTTGATAGAAACGGTGTTCACCTCGCACTTGTATGTGCGGCTGGATCTCACACACCGCAGTCGGTTGCTGGGCCTGGTAATGAAGCAGCCCTCCTCCGGCCTCGACCAGGTGTGAATGTTGTCCGAGCCAAGCATGTAACAGTGTTGAACGAAAGCGACTTTTCTGTCATTCGGAACATTGCAGTTGCTCAAGGCCAGAGTCTCACAGAACTCGATACTGACATAACTCTGCATACGGGACAGCATCCTCTTTTCTGGTCCCAATGGCGTCGCGATCAGACTGTAGACTCTCCGAGGCTATCGTGGGATATCAACCAATCTGACCTCGAAGGGTTGACAGCCTCCATACGAGAGGCTAAGACCAAATCCGATGGAGTGATCTTTTCCTTTCATGCCCACGAGTCTGAGTCCGGGACGGCTGATGCCTCAGTGCCGCTGCCACAAGCCTCAACCGTTCCGGCTTCTTACGTGGTCACTATCAGCAAGGCCGCTGTCGACGCCGGTGCTAGTACCGTCTTAGTCCATGGACCACATCATCTCCGCGGCATTGAGATCTATAAGGGGCGGCCTGTTTTCTACGGCGTAGGGCACCTGACCTACAGTTTGGGACGAAGTTTTCGAGGGTATGAGCTCCCTATTGAATGGGATGATGGCATCATTGCCTCCATCAACTTTACCGCGGGGGCACTTTCCAGCATAACGCTGCAACCCACGATTCACAGCCAGCTATCAGATAGTGAAACGAAACTACCGAGCGACGCAATGCCAAAAATTGCGCCTGTCAGCGAGGCACAGCGCATCCTAGAGCATCTGAGGAAGGTGTCCAGTCAATTTGGAACAGTGATTAAGATTGAACGTCGAGGCAAGACGTGCATTGGCGTGGTTGACTTGGCGACCTGAAGAAACACTGCATCCAAAGCCAGTTTCTGGCAATTGAATTAAGCGTTTAGATCTCCTTATTACTTGCCCACTGTGATATCTTAAATATGTAATAAGTCTAATTCTCTCTATCGTTAATCAGCACAGTGAAATAAAGTTATCACTATATGGACCATATATATTTACCGTCTATTAGGTACCTGTTTGGCGGATTCTGTTGGTTGCTTTTGCTCCGCGTGATCTGGAAATCATTATCCATCAGAAACGCGCCCTGCTTTGAGGCTACTGAACTTCCCCCAGTGCTAGTCTTATCGAACACCCTCAGTCGTATGACCAGCTCCCGAACTTGAGACTAGGCCTTTGGACCTAAGCCTACTAAGAACTAGACGGAAAACTAACGCTTTAGTAGCTCCTGTGTACAGATATGAGTACCTACGTTTAGGGCCGAGACTCTAGGCCCTAAGTCGCTGATAAGAAACCACCCATGCCTGCGCGCTCTAATATACCTCATCCGGGATTATTTAGCGGCAGGCGCTTGATGCCATTGATGCACACTTGAGTATAGCAACGACCAGTCTCTCGAAAGCATTAGATATGTTGGTTCAACGCTTCGAGTCTTGGTTCTTTTGCGATCATCGATCCCAACTCATCAACTCTTGCACTCGTTAAGATGGGGGACATCAAGCCATCTACGATGAAAGCGCAATCTATCGACCATCACGGACCAGATATGATGGAGGTACGTGAGAGCCCCGGGACTTTTGACCCGAGAGTTATAGATGGAAGTGTCGAGCCTAATTGAGATGAGCGCAGACATTTATCGCGCCAAATGGTGAGGATGCCAGGAAACATTATACTGCAATGGGCATCAGCTCAGACGATATTGAGGCGGCGAGCGAATTCGCCTCATCTTTGTCCCCCGAGCAGGCAGAGGAGATTTTGAGAGACTTCCTAAACCTTCATGGGTACGTTCTGATAGTAATACTATAGCCTTTCGGAAAGCGCGCGACTAACTTGGGGGGTCTAAGCGATGACATGTGTGTGCCAACACACTCGGTGGCCACAGTGACTCTGCTTCTCGAAAGGATAGAAGCTTCCAAAGAAACCGATTTACACGACTTGGCAATTGCGCGATGTGTTGCAGCCGTGATCCATAGCAACTCGGTGTACCAGGAAGTTCGGGCCATCGTGCCCCCGAGTGACAATGTCGAGGAGCCTGCCAACACTATTCGGATGTGGGTGATAGGTATGTTGGTTGCTCTCTTAGCGAAAGACATTAGTTCTGACCAGCTACTCTGTTTCATTAGGACTTCTGTGGGCTGGCGGCTTGTCTGCCCTGAATCAATTCTTCTACCCGCGGCAGCCAACCATCACCGTCGCCGTGTACCTCGCCCAGCTATTTGGATTTGCGATGGGAAAGGCGGCGGCGACGTTTCTCCCCTCGACAGTCTTCTTCCAGGGCTCGCGCTTTGCTTTTACTCTGAATCCTGGTCCCTGGAGCATGAAAGAGCAAACCCTCATCACTATCATGTCCAACGTCAGCTATAGTGAGTAATTCGCTAAAGATGACTGTGTGTTCTTTTCTAATTGTCTTTGAAGTGGCCCCTATCATGACCGAGCTTTTCTTCATCCAACGGCTTGAAATGTACCTTGGTCTGGAATGGGCATCGAACTTTGTAAGCCATACTCAAATGTCTCGAGAATATCAAAGTTGAACAGGTCTAAACTATCCTGGTAGGGCTATGGCTTGTGTATCCTACTCTCATCGCAGCTTCTAGGATTCGGACTCGCTGGTTTCTGTAGAAGATTCTTGGTCTATCCTCCCAACACCCTCTGGTATTTTGTACTGGGACAGACTGCCATGAATAAGGCTTTCATCCAAGGTGCAAATCCAATCGCCAACGGCTGGAGAATTTCTATGATGAAATACTTCCTCATTGTTTTTGCATGCGCCTGGTGGTATGTGCCCTCATCAGACTCGAACGTCTAGGCCAATACTGAACAAACGACCTAGTTACTATTGGATTCCGAATACCATGTTTCCCACTCTAACCTTTTTCAACTGGATCACTTGGATCAAGCCTACGAGTGCCGCGGTAGCCTTGGTGACCGGCTCCTACTACTTCAACTTAGGCTTCAACCCTCTTAGCAGTTTTGACTACCAATGGTTCTCGACAGTCGATCCATTTGTTACCCCGTTCTTCATTGTGGTGCAGGTGGTTGGCTCGACTGCTTTTTGGGGTCTCTGCGTGATCATTCCCGTCTTCTTCTCGAACACCTGGGACACCGGCTATCTACCCATCAACTCTTGGCTGCCTTATGACAACACCGGGGCCCCATATCAGGCTCAGCTCATTCTGGGTAAAGACTATAAGTTCAACCAGACTGCTTACGAAGAGTATTCGCCGCTACTTCTGCCCGCAGCTTTCGTTTTGAGATGGGCTGGGATGATGGCCTTGCTTCCAGCTATGCCAATCTTTGTATACCTTTGGCACAGGAAGTTATTCGCACCTATCTTCAAGAGCTGGTTCAAGAGCGATCCGCTTGCTATGTGGAAAAGTGATGTTCATTGCCGCCTAATGAGCCGTCACAAAGAGGTTCCGCATGTGAGTCACCTGCATTTGTCATGATGGTTACATTAGCGGGATATTTCAATCGGTAACAAGACTAACGCGTGGTGATAGTACGTGTACGGCAGCATCGCAATCGTCGCAATGGCTCTTGGCATCGCTGGTGTATATGCTTGGCCCGTCGGCGTGCCATGGTGTAAGCCCTCTTGCTCCCCTGTCCCCGTGATGTGTTACAATTCTGATACCGTACCATAGGGGTTTACCCACTAGCGTTTGTATTCAGTGGTCTATTTGTGATCCCTGTTGGCCTCCTCCTTGGTGTGACGGGCTACGCCACCGACCTGGATTTTCTCTTCAGCATTGTAGGCCACTACTTACCCGTTGTTCGTCCAGAAGACTAACTTCATACTATCACTATAGATAGGTGGCTATGCAGTTCCTGGTGACCCCATTAGCATGTTCGTCTTCAAGTCCTTAGGAAAGTGTGTTTTACGACAAGCCACTTACTTCGTGTCCGACATGAAGCTTGGCCACTATAATAAGATTCCACCAAGGCTTATGGTAGCCTCTCAGTTGGTTGCCACTGTAGTCTCGGTAATTGCCTCGCTTGGGATCATCAACTTCCAACTTACTGGTATCCCTGGAATCTGTAACCCGGAGCTGCAACCCAGGTGGATCTGTGGCAGCGTGGCTCAAAGCTGGACCACATGCATTGTCTGGGGAGCTCTCGGTCCCTCAAGGCTCTTTGGAAGCGATGCCCTCTACAGAAAGCTCCCTTGGGCTACTCTCGCCGGCGCCATATGGCCTATTGCCTGGTACCTGGCTCGACAACGCTGGCCCAACAGCTTCTTCCGACTTTGCCATCCTCTCGTTCTCTGTGAGTACCTCATCACGAACCTTTCCCCGACTTGGGCTAACAACTCACTCAATAAAATAGTGGTAGGTCCCATCTTGTGGGCACCCCTCAACTTTTCCATGTTATGGCAAGGCCTGCCAGTATCCTTCGTATTTGGGTATTGGATCAAACACCGATATGTAGAGTGGTGGAATAAGTACAACTACATCACGTCCACGGCTCTTCTATCGGGTATCGCCTTCTCAATCATTATTCAATTCGCTGGGCTTGCTAATCAAGGGATATCAGTAAGTTTTGTATACGAGCGCCCTACAATAGTACTTCTGCTAACAGCCCACCGTAGTTCCCACAATGGTGGGGGACAACCAAGTACATGGAGACGTGTGACTTTCAAGACTGCAGATGGTTGACAGTCAACCCTGGTGAGGCGATTGGCCCAGCAGAGTGGCATTAATCCGATGGTTAGGGGGCTGCTCTGGGGAGGAATGGTCTTGAAAATTGACATCTAAATATCTCTTACCAGCCATTTTTGACATACATTCTCTAATACCGTGAGCTGCCTTCGGATCCATGGCGGCAGAGCGGCTTCCATAGTTCCCGACAATTTCAAGCTAAGGTGGTGGGTAAGGATGTCACATCAATAATGATTTCCTATCTTGGCTTCCCCATTCTGCATTTATATCTCTTTCTCAATTCTAGTATAGCATTATAATCAACATCTTTCAGTAGCTGTCGCATGTTTGTATAGCTCTCTCACTTGCTACATGTTATCAGTGTGTTGAACAGCTATTTGTAAGAAGGGCGGTGATGACCTGGGAAGGACTGGATCAATAATTCGCTGGTGCTTGAGGAAGTCTATGGATGCCAATTGCCAACTAAGAGTTCGAAAGTCGACTTCAGTCGAAGTTCTTCGGAAGACTTCAAAGTCATTCTCGCCGGCTTGCTTGAGAGAGTTAGCGTCTTCAAGGTTCTCCTCAGCCGGAGAGATGTTACCAAGCCGCGGGGCAGATGCTCGGCTGGATGATATGATTGGCAAAGAGCAGAGAGATTAGAATAAACTAAGTGATCCTTATTCCCTAGATGTTATAGGGTAATTAAGTAAGGTATATCACAGTCGGAGGATGCAGGCTGTATGGAACCCCAAGTGTCAGGGGAATTCTGCTTATACGAACTCGAGAAGCAGGTCATGTATAGCTAATTGTTTGAGATGATGTATCATGATACACCTACGAGCTTGATTTGAATCTCAGCTGAAATGGATTGAAATCCGATACTGAATCTATCTATGTTTCCAAAGCGATGCACACATGGAATTAGAATTATATGGAATCACAAATTATACTGACGCCCCAGGAAGGACAGAAAATTGGTCAATAGATTAACTGCATCTAATAATTCCTGGCGACTAGCTTGTTTTCCGAGTTGATAAGAGCAAGCAGGTGGATGTTGGTTCAGGCGGGCTCCTTTCACTTGCAGCCTTACGTTTGTGACGCGGTATTGGCCGGAGTACTGTGACCCGATGGATGTGTTGTGTCATAGCACACAAGGGCTAGACCTGGCTCTTGGGACCATGCTTGAGTCAGCCGCTCACAGGGTCAAAAATAGCGGCAGGTTCCGCTCTGCCGATGGAAAATGAGTGTATCGGTCAGGTGTGAGCCGTGAGGCGAGTGGAGAGTTTTCGACCACTTGATGGAGGATGGGAAACCACGTCGGAGCAGTGTGGCCCGATCTGCGCTGATTGGCCACCTATTGTGCGCTGAACCAGACTCGAGTCAGACGGCTAACAATCTTACAGAGGAAAGGTTCGAAAACCGCCAGCTACTGTTCCCAAGTTGGCCCCCCCGCAGCGTTTCCCGTAACCCAGTTAATCTTTTACTGGTGTTAATAACCTGGAGAAGAGTGTGGAGAAATTTCTCTCCAATTTCAGAGTCTTTCTATAAATCCACCATCTCCCCAGATTCTAGAGCTTGGCATTTTATATTCGATATCATTACTATACTACCAAGCCTTCTTAATCATTGTCTTCTCATCTTGCACTGACCATGGATTCTAATACAAACGCTAAAGACACTGCCACGGCCCACCAGGTAGAGACTACGGGAAATGCCGGCACGAGAGAAGCGCTGGAGACCAAATATAGCGGTAGGTACCAAGCCACTCTAAGCATAACATGTACTATTCAGGCTGAAAATGACTAGGTCTTGGACGATCGGGAGTTGTGAAGACTTTCTGGAAGGCTACTCTCATGTGCATGATTCTCAACTGGGCGGCACTTAACGATGGAGTATTTTCTGACGCCCTTTCCCTTTCTTGTTAATCTTCGAACGAGAATGACTAACTTGCTTCTGCAGTTCCAACAGCAAATCCCGGGTAACGTTATTCCGATGCAGGCCTTTGTCGACCAAATGGCGGATACTACAATGGATGGCGCACCAGCCATTAGCGCCCAGGTGGTTTCCTACTGGCAGGGATTTCCCGAGATGTCAAAGACGTTGGGAATGTTTACTGGTGGTTACTTTGCCGACCGTATGGGCCGAAAGTATGTATTCGAGTGAATAATGGATTATGTCTAAGGTCTGATGAGTAGTTGTACAGGCCTGCACTCATCGGTGCCGTCGTGATCCTTCTTGGCGGCTCGATCGCTCAGATCACAGCCTTTGATTGGAAGAGTTGGCTTGGAGCAGCCGTTCTCGTTCGTCTGGGTGTTGGTCTGGCCCAATCTGTTCTCATCGTCTATGTTTCCGAGCTTTCGCCGCATCAAATCCGAGGTGTCATGATTGGTGCTTATCAGCTCTTCATCGCTGTCGGACAACTTTTGAGTGCGGTTGCAACTCAGATTGTCGAGACAACCCAGCCAGGGAAATGGAGGCCTCTAATTGCTTCTGAATTTGTATTCACAGGAGTATGTGTCCCCTACCTTCACGATAGCGAGTATTTGAGCAGTCGAGCTTATCTGTCAACTCGATTTAGCTACTTCTACTGATGATCTGGTTCGTGCCCGAGTCCCATGTCTATTATGCGAGAAAGGGACATCACGAAAAGGCCAAGCAGTCCATGGTTAGCCTCTACGGAACAGCGCCCGGTTACGATGTTGTAAGTATTCAATGTACGGGGCAAGTGGCGCGGCAGCGATGGCTAAGATTTATTAGGAACACGAATACCGCGTCGTTCAATCCGGCATCGAAGCCGAATTGGAGCTAAGTGGCAGTAGCCATAACAAGGCCTTTTTTGAGATTTTCAACCACCTCAACTGGCGCAGGACCTTGGCCGGGTGTATGGGCATCTGCAGTCAATGGACAGCAGGTGCCCCGATCGTGTTTGCATACTCTACAGTAAGAGATCCGAACCTAACAAATATATGCGGCATAGTCTCATCCATTCTATTTAGTACTTCTTCAAAGTGGCAGGCATTCAAAATCCTTTCATTGTCACCATCATTACGTCAGTTGGAACATCCATCAGATTACGGGCTTTCTTTACTAATAGTATTAGATATGTTTTGCTGATTGTCTCCATCTCCATCTCCTTGGTTTCATGCGAGTACATCGGCCGTAGGCCTCTCCTTGTCGGGTAAGACTCTGCAAACGTATTTGTCCCTCCTCAGCCTAACCTAATGGTAGGGGCTGTTTCCTCATGTGCATCTTCAATGTGGGCCTCGCCACAACTGGGTTTTTCAAAACAACAGCAGCTGAAAAGGGTGCTTTGGCGTTTCTGCTGCTTTGGGTCATCTGCTATGGCTTCTCTGCTGGCCCGATCGGGTTCGTGGCGGCAGGAGAAACCTCGACGCCCCGTCTGAGAGCCCAGACGACTTCGTTCAATCTGGGTTGTTATGGTGTTGGCTTGTAGGTTCAATGATACCCGCCTGCTGCTTCACATAGTTGCTGAAATGTCTCTAGTGTCGTTTTCCAGTGGACCGTGGCATACATGATCAACCCTGATGCCGCAAACCTGGGCGTTAAGGCCGTCTATGTCTGGGCCGGACTCTTGGTTCCTACGACCATAATTCTCTACTTTTTATACCCTGAGGTAAGTCCTCTGGGACAAACATCACCATCACCAAGAACAACAATTATTGACGCGTTCTAGACTTACGGCCGAACCTATCTGGAGCTTGACGAGCTTTATGAACGAAGAATCCCAGCTAGAAAATTCAAGAGCACTCCGACCACGGCAGACCAAAGTGGCAACAAGAAACGGCCTACCACTTCCACTGCCGCATAGATGTTCCTTGCAACTCAAGCTAGGGTATTTGAGGGAGGATAGCCAAGGAAGAACATGACGATAAGTGACTGTGCACAATCTGTACAAGGACTAATATGTTTACTTCATTCATTGTATTCTGTTTATTAAAATCTAGTTGAAAGTCTGATCACTGTGTCCTTCCAGACGCTAGTACCAGTTCCATCTCTGATGCTTCCTGCTGCGTCAGGTCTCGGAAAATCTCAGCACTATGATTTAATGTCAGCTAGCTAAGTGACAAGGAATCCGCTAAAGACAGCACGTACAAGTATTTATTAAAATATTCCTTCCATTCTCTCGGATCTGGTTAGGAAAGTTGGTAGATGCCATACATGTACTTTTTGAAATCGCTCAAGCATGTTCATTCACTATTTGGAGTCATTGCTAAATAGTGCCTGGGTCTAATCACACAGGATCAGGGCATATCTAGCAATGTAAGAATTCAATCACAGAAGATGCTACGGGCTTTCTTTTGTTCATGGTCTCTCATCAAGGCCGTTCACATTGAAATTTCCACATCTTATCTTGCCTCCTCAATGCTCTCCACCAGCAAGTCTTGTTTACCCAAACTGTGCTCCATGATATACTCTCCGTTGAGAGAGTCATTATTGTCAACTCTTAGCAGAGTATCGTGTAGTGTACTCTCAATGCCAGCTTTTAAATGCCTCGATGCTACCCTTTGACGCGCGACCTCCTTGTCAACAGTTACGAGCCATCGATCATCGACCAGGCTCGAGATTTCACTCCAAGGAGCTTCGTCCACTAACACGTAATTTCCCTCGATGATGCAAACCTCGGTGTCAATGTCCACCACTAAGCTATCTAGAACCGGATCCTTGACCGCGTGATCAAAAGTCGGCGCTAGCACCTGTGTCCGACCAGTATTATTCCTTAGACAGCGCACCAAATCGACGGTTGCCACCGCGTCAAAAGTCCAGTGTGCGCCTCGACGCTCCAAAGCCTCTTTTGCGTTTGGAAGCGATCTGAGCACTGAGAGAGGTAGGTGGAATCCGTCCGCAGGGATGAGTTTGATGGATGGGCCGTCTGGTGATTTCTCAACGAGTGCAACGACTTCCTCTGCGATCGTCGACTTTCCAGATCCGGGAGGGCCAGCCAAAGCAATTATAAGTCGTCCTTGTCCCTTGGCTTTGGCATCTTGCCATTTGTCGCAGATGCGAGCCGCCAGCTGTTGGTATGTTCCCTTCATGGTTGCGCCTGTATGCTGTGAATGAAGACCCTGGGAACAAGCAATATGCGCAACTGTAATAAGACAAAAGACCCAATCAATCCAATAAAAAGACAAAACACGCTACACGGACCAAGAATGACCAAATCCAAGCGATTTCAGCTTTTTGGGACTGGTGGGTTCGGTGAACAGTACTCCGGCAAGGTGGAGATGATGAAGGCTCGGGCGACGGTGCTCCGATGCGTCGGAGCTGGGGTGAAGCTTCAGAATTTTGCATTAATCACTTACTTATAACTCTGCAAATGCACCTAGCGAGGGCAGATATATCAAGAGTCAAATTTCGGTCTGCTCAATTCTCGTCAAGATGTCCATGAACGTTCAAGACTGCGGAGTGGTGAGGGAAGGATTCCCTCGTCCGTTCCCCGATACCTCCTCCAATGTCGTGGAGCAGTTCAAGATGGCCGGAAAGGTCGTCGTGGTAACAGGCGCCGCTGATGGGATTGGTTTGGCTGTTGCGGAAGGCATCGCAGAGGCTGGCGGCAATGTCGCCATGTGGTACAACTCGTAAGTCATACTGTGCATCATCGCCTGCTAGAGAGCATTTATTCACGAGGCATACTCATGACAGGAACGAAATTGCCGTCCAAAAGGCTACTGAGATATCCCAAAAACACGGCATCACTGCCACTGCATACCAGGTCGATGGTAAGTCTCCGAATATTGATATCCGTTCGACTAAGTGTACCTACATTAATCTGGCTTCCTTAGTCTCAGATGTGAACCAAGTTATCGCTACAGTCTCCAAAACTGCCAGTGACTTTGGAAAGATCGACGTGTTCGTTGCCAATGCTGGTAGGATCTCTCGCATAGGGTCATTGCGCGTTCTTGAGTCGGAAAGCTGACAGAGATTGAAATAGGCATGGCGATTTCTAAGCCTATTTTGGAGATGACCGTTGAAGAGTACCGAAAGGTAATGTCGGTGAATGGTATGTACTGCTTTCAATTGCTTTGTAAAATGCAATAATAACCTGAGAAATAGCCGACGGTGTCCTCTTTTGCGCAAAGTACGCTGGCGAGGTGTTCAAGCGACAGGGCTTTGGAAACCTGATCATCACCTCGAGCATGAGCGCTCATATTGTTAACGTACCTACTGATCAGCCTGTCTACAACGGCAGCAAAGCGTTCATAACCCATTTTGGAAAGTCTTTGGCTCGCGAGTGGAGAGATTTTGCTCGTGTTAATATTGTCTCCCCTGGTTTCTTTGACACGAAGCTGGGCGCCAGTCCGTTGGCTATAAATGAAGCCTACCGTATGTCAGCATTTGGGAGGCAAGGCCATGTGAAGGAAATCAAGGGTTTATACCTTTATCTAGCCAGTGATGCTTCAACATATATGACAGGTAGCGATATTCTCATTGATGGCGGCTATGTTCTTCCTTAGACATGAGGAAGATGGTTTTAGCAATATAGTTGAGCCTCCTATAGCTAGTAATTTCAAACCTGAAGCATTTTTCATCTCAAAGGTTTTATTGTCCCCTTTGGTTTGGTAATTTCCTCACACCCTTGTATGGGAAAGATTAAGTGCGGAAAAGGGGCTTCGTTCAGAGATCAAATTTCCAAGTGCTTCCAATCAAGGTTCTCTCAACTCAGTAGATGCCTTACTAATGGAAGATGGTGTCTAGATGCATGTAAGAGGCTCAACTACCTCTCACGTGTATTTAGAAGAGAGCTACAAAAAAAACCCTACAAACTGCTACTACTCTGAGTCATGGCGGAAGTCTTATGTCCACTCTCATGCGGTATAACAAGGGTGTGGATCGTCGGCTGACAGTGCTCCGAGAGGAGATCAGCTGAGCTCACCCTACGTTTGGATTAAATGCCACGCTTAAAAGTACTGCAGACACTTAATCATCAGGTATGAGACCGCATTTGTCCTTTGATCTCTTCCTTTAGGCTTCTTTTTCGACTTCTTTTTCTGTCCTCCATTATGACACCCGCTGCGGTATTGTCAAGCCGTGAAGCCTTGACATCACGTTCAATCCCCTCTATGATTTTTAGCGACGGGAGCTCCTCCTCACTCACGCCTGCCCCCCCAGCTACAGTCGAATCTGATCCAGAGGTCGGTGCGACGAAGCGTTTCTCCGTCCGAGGCAACGCCATAGTCACTGGAGGAGCCGGCACGCTTGGTTTATTTGCATGCGATGCTCTACTAGAACATGGTCTCGAGGGTCTAATGATCTTTGACGTCAATGCTTCAGAAAAGCCGATTGAAGCATTGCGGAAGAAATTTCCAAAAGCCCAAGTCCTATTTCAAGAAGTGGATGTCACGGATGAGGAGGCCGTCCAGGCTGCAGTGGCCCAGACAGCCCTCCTACTTGGGTCTGTCGATATTCTTCTCTGCTTCGTCGGTATTGTCGGCTGTGTTGAATCCCTGGAAATGCCTATCTCCCAATGGCGCAAGATTCTCGATATCAACACAACCGGTTCTTTCATCTGTGCGCAGGCAGTTGCACGGCAGATGGTCAAGCAAGGCAAGGGGGGCTCAATCACATTCGTGGCTTCCATATCAGCCCACCGCGTTAATTATCCCCAACCTCAGGCAGCATACAACGTGAGCAAGTCTGCCCTTCTCATGCTCAAGAGCTGCCTCGCTGCGGAGTGGGCTCGATACGGGATCCGCACCAACACAATCAGCCCGGGATACATGGATACAATCTTGAACGAAGGGGACGGTATCGCTGGTCATCGGCAGATCTGGGCTGAACGGAACCCAAGTGGTAGGATGGGCAGTCCGCCAGAGCTGGCGGGGGTGGTTGTGATGCTGGCAAGCAGCGCGGGGACATATATCAATGGCGCAGATATAGTTGTAGACGGAGGTGGCATTGTAGTGTGAAGTCAGAGTGGCAGCAAAGCTGATGTGCATATCCAGTAGGATCAAGTAGTAATAGAATGCTCCCATTGACTGTTGATGGTCGATCCACCACTAAAAACAAGTACCAATCATGCATTACCTATGACCTAACCTCTTGTCTCGTGATCGGAACCACCCGAACTCACACTTCCCACCCACACCACCGATATCCGTCATCTCCGCTGTCCTCGCTCCCCCGCCAGACTGTGTCGATATCTCCAGAGATGCCGCCGAGATGTGTGAGCCGAGCATGTATCAACTGCCAGAAACGAAAGAGTCGGTGCGTGCGTAGTGTCGGCCGTAACGGCGGGAGACCGGACAACGGAGCTCCGTGCTCCTACTGCCTGCAGACAGGCAAATCCTGCAGCTTCGAGAGTCCGCCAGACCGGACGCCCCTGACCAGGAACAATCTGGATGCCGCCGAACTTCGGTGCGCGCAGCTCCAATCGCTCATCAAATCGCTCAACCCGGATCTAGACATTGACTCCGCCCTTGGTCAGCAAGCCCAGACTCCTAGCTCCAGCCAAGCGACCGAAGCCGCTTGGGACGCGTCGACTCTCCACGAGTACGAGTGGCACGAAGACTCGCTATCCCCCGAGGCGGAGCATCATAGGCTAATCGGCTCTGATGGTATGGCTACCATTTCCAACATCGACTCGGGATATCTTGGTATGTCTCTTTCCTGGATACACTTCTACCCAGATTTGGTACTCAATGATAATCAACTGTCCAGGAAGCAGCTCAGGCTCATATATTCTCGGCGAAATCGATCCTGATATAACTCTTAGACCTCAAGTAGGCCGTCGCAGAGTTCAACCGAGAACAGACCCCTCCCTACGTGCTCCACGGCTCGATGGGCCCGAGCCAATAGATCTTCCCTTGTCCTACATTTCTAGTCAACTGATTGACGCGTTCTTCCTTCGTTACAATACATCCTACCCCATCCTGCATGAAAAGTCTTTCAGAGACCGGGTCGCAGCCAGACCTGTGAGACTTCTGCCCCATTCACCATGGCGCGTCATCTACTACATGGTCCTAGCTATTGGCCATTGGGCCACCAGTGATGAGACGGAGCACTTGCGGGCCAGGTATTATACCGCTGCGAGGGCCAGTTTTTCGTTTCAGATGCTCGAGTCCGGCACAATGGAGACGGTACAGGCCTTCTTGCTGGTGGGCAACTATCTCCAGAAGCGAGATCGGGCAAATACAGGTTACAATTTTATTGGGCTTGCTTACAGAATGGCGGTCGGTCTTGGGATGCACCACGAGCAGCCGACTTCAGATTCAAACACGATTGGTCACGAAAGGCGGCGGCAGATTTTCTGGACGGCCTACTGTTTTGAAAGCGGGTTCAACATCACTACAGGGCGACCTCCGGCCGTATCGGAGACATTCTTCGATACAAGGCTCCCATTGAATATTGACGATCATGTTAGCAGTCTATATATTTCCTTTATGATTAAAGCTTGCTAACCTTCTCCCCAGGACCTTTCGTTACAATCACCCGTCCCTCAGGAGCTCAACTACCCAACAACGTGCTCTGCAATCATTGCTCAGGCTCGCCTAGCCAAGATTGGGGACGCTGTCTACCGCGAGTTCCTCTTAGCCAGGACAAATGGCTCGAAGATTGAGTACCGCCTCGCCGAATCTCTAGGCAGAGAGTTGACGATTTGGAAGCAAAGCTTGCCACAATTCTTCAAAGAGCCTCCATCCTCGGCACCCTGGTTCCAAGGTCCACGGGCAGTCGTTATCTGGAAGGAGCAGAATCTGCGCATCCTTCTCTGGCGCGGGAGCCAGGATCCTCCCGCTTTCCTACCTACCAGAGTTACCGCCACTGAGAGGTGCCTGGATGCTACGCTGGAAATCATCCATGACATCGCAGCATTTTGCATGCTTAGCGATGTCACCATGTACCAGAGCCTTGCTTGGTACGCGACTTATTTCATCTTCCAGGCCGCACTAGTCCTTGAGGCCTGTTCTCTTCAAAGCAGCGTTCACGATCCAGGGCAGATGATGGTACAAACACAAGTCTGGCAACACTCCACCATGGAGGTCCGTGTTTGTTTACGTAAGTTATCCGAGACGAGCAAATCGGCAGAGCGGTGCCTAGAACTTCTAGATCAAGTGCAGAATAGGTTCAGGCCGTATATAAGAGGTGGTTTTGAGGCTGGTGAGAATAATGAGAGCGTTTCCACCAATCAACCAGAGCTCGTGCCGGAGGTTCCTGTTGACTTACAAGCCGCAAACGATCTCACAACTTACAACCTAGATCAGCAACAAGAACTTGGCAACGAGCTCTCAGATCCAAGTCTACGAGGCTTTCTTGACGAAATGTCGCTAGATTATATGGACAACTTGCCTTTGGACTTTCTCTTTGGGGAATGGCCAGCTTAAGGTTGTAGGTTTAAGATATTAGAACAAAAATCGACTCAGTGTGTAAAGCTGTTATGGATGCTGCATTAAATGTCGGCCTTTAGTCTTGTGCAACCTGAATCAAGTTCTTAATGCCCTCCCCTCTCTTCGTTTTCTCCCAAGCTTCAGTAGCATTGTGGAAAGGTGATGTGCTGCTTATAAGGGGTTTGACATTGGGTTTCCCCGCCGCCAGTAGTTTCAATGCAAGCTCGTAATCGCCGGGTCCGTACCGGAATGCTGTCTTCAGTGTGACCTCCTTCTCACACATATCCAGTAGTGGAAGACTTTGCTTTGGCCTGCCCATTCCAATCTGAACAAAGACTCCGCCAGCTGCCGATGCAAAAAGACCAGTCTGAGCCGAAGACTCTACTCCAGTACACTCCAGAACTACATTGAATCCGTCTTCTAGGCCAGCAACATCCTTGAGCTTCTCCGCGTTTAATTCTGGCGTTGACGAAGCATCAGGGATGAACGTCTTGCATTCGACAAAAGTCCTAGCAAAGTCGAGTTTCTTCTGATTGATATCCACGACCATGACCGAGCCTGCGCCGTAAGCAACTGCAGCTGCAGCCGACAGCAGACCGATTGTGCCTGACCCTTGCACCAACACTGCTTGCCCTGGCTCTAGACCGGCAAGGCGGACTCCATGAATGGCAACGCTGAACGGCTCGACCATGACGGCCTCCTGTAAGCTGAGGGAGTCCGGGATTTTATACGCAAAGTCCGCAGGGATCTTGAATAGCCGAGTCAGGGTGCCGTGAGTAGCAGGCGGGTCCGCCGCAAACTTCATGCCACGACAGAGGTTGTATCTTCCAGCCTTGCAGAGCTTGCAGCGCCTGCACGGGAACCCGGGCTCAATAGCCACGCGGTCGCCAGGTTTGAATGCGACGACTTTAGAACCGACCTCATGCACGATGCCTGAAGCTTCATGGCCCATGACGAGGGGTGCTTCATGTGAGACTTTTCGGCTAACGCCTCCATGCGTCCAGAAGTGGACCTAGGTCGGCGAATGAGTGAGCTTTTGTAGACTGTAATTGCCATAGCGAAGGATGAATACGTACATCGCTGCCACAGACACCAACATAGGCGATGCGGATGATAATTTCGTAGGCATCAGTGATCTCGGGAACTGGCCGATGTTCAAATTTGACCTGCCCTGGGCCGTAAAGAAGGCATGAGAGGTTCTACATTGCATTCCGGGTTAGCTGGTTCATTCGTCCAAGTCGTATTGGTTGGTAACGCACATCTCCAGACATTTCGGATGGAACGTTGCTTGCAAGAATACTCCCGCAAACAATAACCCCGCTTAGATGTTCTCACCTTCATATAGCTTGGGAGAGATAGTCGGATTGCGACCTTACGTATATGTTAAAGCCCAATATTGGAGCATAGTCGGAGCACTGTCGACCGACGGTCCATAAATTATACCGATCGTCGTCTTTCCCCTGTGATAATTGGGCGACTTATACTGGACCAGGGTCTAGGGTAGGTCAGGGACATAACTAATCAGAGTTGTGCAGTATTGATGGGCCCCTTGTGACCGTCTAAGTTGCTTTAGGAGACTCGAACCCGCCACTGGCTGCTTATCGAGTCCCATTCATGATTGCTGATCAAGTGTGTGCGGGGCGTTGAGCAACAAAACATGTCTCAGCCTGTCAAACTCGGCCTTGACTGTTTTCAACAGGCATATTAACCTCACGAATACGTCTGGATATATTAGCTGGATCTGTTGCTTCATCATCTACTTCAAGTTCCGCACAGCTTGCGATTAACATAATGTTGGGTCGCCATACAGACCCTGGTTCCAGCCGTTTGGGATCTGCTACACGCTGATATTTTCAATCTTGCTGCTTCTTTTGAATGGCTTTCATGTCTTCTTCCCTGAAAACTGGTCTGTTGGAGATTTTGTTTCTGCTTACGTCGGTATCCCCGTGTTTCTTTTAATCTACGGAGGGCATTGTCTGTACACTCGGTCCGAACCCTGGGCCAGGAACCCCTCTACAATCGACATGTTTGAAGGAATGGATGAGGTCATGGCAGCTGAGCAGCCACCGCGAGTCTACAAAGGTCTCGGACACCTCAGGAAGTTGTGGGAATAGTCAAGTCACAATTGAAAATCAGTCTATGCCATGTTCTTGTCATGAGAACCTTACTCTTCTCCTCTTTGGACTCCTAGTGTGTCTATGTATCATAGTCCTTTGGATAACATGTGATTTGTCTTGAGAACGCTTGCTTGGCAGTAGACATTCCGTTCCTGCTAAATCATCTTTCTATGGGTAGCTATTCTCTACGTGCCTGCCTTAATAAAAGTGCACGTATCTTCTATGGCTCTATTTGAAGACTAACTGAAGACTTTACGCTATCTGTAGTCTATGTTACGGAGATTAACAGTCTATCTTTCAAATCTCCCCATGTATTCGGAGTTTGGATCATTCAAACTCCCAATTGTGAAACGCTTCTCCTTCAAATCATTCACAAAGAACCAACCAATTTGGAAACTAACACCAGCCAGCTCCTTGCAAATTTGTGGAGAGGACAGATACTGGGAACCTCGCGGGAGCACGGTTGATCCAGCCGCGCCGTAGAGGAGATTATGCCATGAGACGAGGCTGTTGAATTCGTCTGGACAAACCCCCTTCATGTTGAGGTCGAGAAGGAAGTCTGAGTCAACTCCGAGGAATCGTTTCATCATTCTAGAGCCCAGCGCCCATAGATTGACAATGAAAGCAAGGGCTAAGATGACGATGATGGCAATGGTGACCCCGAAATTTTGCACCAATCGACGTTTGTTGGTTCTGGTAACGGATCCATTGCTAGGCGAGATCGTTGGATGGATTGTTGGCTCCATGTCTGAAGTGTCATTCAACTTTAGCCGGTTCTTGACATTGGCATATTGAGCAGCGACTATAGCTCGGCGGAAGTGTATGGTGTTGAGAATTTCGTCTGTTTTGCTTGAGTTCCCAAACTCATCTAGCCCCAGGGGACCGAATGGCTTGATGAGAGGTGCGAATGCTGCGCCCACCTCGGCCGCTTGTGAATTTTGAACAGAAAAGTCTGGCTGAAGAAAGTCCATGTTAGGCGTACTAAAGTACGGCTCCCAGGGCTTGGCCTTGGTATCATCGGAAACTGGCGGCCTGCCATAATCGAGCTGCGGCTGACTATTAGAAGAACGGTATGTGAATTGTGTGGGAACTTCGGTCCAAGTGTAATTGCATCGCCAACCCTCGATGTGATCAAAGCTTTTCTTCGAGTCAGAAATAGCACCCCACATGAATGTTTGCACAGTCCAAGGCCTATAATTCGTATTCTCGTCGTCATCCTCTTTGCACAACTTTCGAATTAGCGTTGCGTAATCTTGCGAGCTCATCGTTTTTGCGAAGTATCTGGGATTGGTCTCGTTTCCCAATGCGACGCGGACATCTCTGGATAAAGCCGCTTGACCACGGCCGTTGGGGCAGATGATGTCCTCTATGTAGCTAGCGACGATGTGGTCCTCGTCAGCCACTTCGGAATCAGGATTTGCCTCGAAACCACTGAGTTGGAAACACTCTGGGGTCAGTCTGGCGGCAGGAAGGGTCAACTGGATAGATACACTACCAGTCCAGTCTTGAACTGCGTCGTTGAGTTTGACAACAGGGTATACCAAGTCGCGATAAGTTCCTTCCGGATACCTCAATTCAGACGAGTTCTGAAACAACATCAAACTGCCCATGTCCTCTTGCACGCGCCAAGTATCCCAAACATTGAACGAAGTGGCCCCCTGACGGCGAACTCCAAACCAGCTGTCTTGTTCGATTGAGACATCTTCTACCTCGGAGATAACTTTCACGGTGAAAAGGATAGACGACAATGGCGTCAACACGCCACAGCAAATCGCAAGCACCTGCGTTAGAGTAACAGCAAATAGCCTGGACTTCAACGAGTGGTATAACGCTCGAACACCAAGCATGTCTAACAATGACATATCCAATTCTCGTGCGGTACATGGTCTTGATGAGAGTTTGGCAAGTATAGCCCTGTCTCGAACGGCCGTATCGGACGACGAAGCATAAAGACTCACGATGAAAAGTGCAACTGCAGGGACCAGCATCCACGAAAGTGCTGGCGTACCTTCTTTCACATTGACCAAGCCGTTGGAGGACTCGGATATACTCAAAGTGACCGCGAGAGCAATAACGAGTGCCAAACCGTAGACCAAGAAGAGGCTTCGAAGCCATGTAGTTAACTGGATTGGTGAGAATGTAGAATGGCTCCAGGAAAATTGATCGGGTTTGGAATGTTCGAGGCCAACGTTCCTTTGATCCGCGTTGAAAAAGATCAAGGCTCCCAACACTGTAGAGGGGTTTCTGTGCCAAGGTTGAAATTTGCGTCGCACAGAGATTGCCAAGTACAATGCAAATACGGCTGACAGGGCGAATATGCACGCCATGGCAATACAGATGACCCTGGTTACCTTGACCTGATTGATCATCACTACGACCTCATTGCCAGATATCCGAGCGCCGTCCGGAACTCGTAAGTGATGATGAGCAATCATAGGTCCAACTGTTTCCGTGAGGTTTGTCATAACCCGGTGCAGTGTGTCACTGCGGAAAATTGATCGATCCAGATGGTACATGTCTGCACCTCGAAACGAGGCTTCTGCCAAGGCAGGGCCGTAGGCTAGGTCTTGGCTACGGGATTCATTGGGTGACCAAAACCCCGTGAAGGCGGGAACAACGCCCGGAAGGATATTCCAAAGATTCACGTCGATAGGATTCTTGTCTTGATCTGGTAAGACTGTCATGTTCGGCTTGGCACCATCATCGACAATCTCTACCTTGGACACCCAGGCGCTGGGTGCGCATATTACTGCACCGAGCGCAGAAAGCTCAACAGCCGAAGCCCTCGTTACCGATCTCTCGTAGAGCGCCGCGAGGTATAAAACTTGATTGTACTGCTTTGACAGTTTCGGGCAAAGGTGGGGGCTTTTTGTCTGAGGTTCGATAGACCACATAGTGACGTTGTCAGCAGGGAAAGTAAAATTATGTTGGATGGAGACGGGCTCATCACAGTCTGGGAATCGAACCGTCAAGGTCACATTGTAATCTGTGGTCTCCGTGTCGGCCTTGGACGGTTCTTCAGCCCATTGCGTTTCGTAGCCTTCGGACTCAATGCATTCAATGTCCGTAAACAGAGCATCCACCGTCACGGTGATGGGCGAATCGATAGTCCCTCGATGGTCGAATGTTTGGTACGCTGCTTGCTTAGTGACTCCGAAAGGATATGACATATTAAACGCAGAGAGAGCCCGTGCGTTGTACCATGGAGCCGTGGCGGAACTGTTGGAGCCTGCAACTGGTGCACCGGACCTTTCGTTGGCGGCGAATGACGTGAGGGTCTGAAGCTCGGTATCCCGTGTCGACCGCACGTCGTCCAGATAGAACAAGCCAGGCGACAGTACCACTTGGAGTTTGGTCATGATAGAGACGATGATGACGATGAAGACCAAGAAATGCCTCTGCTTCCACGAATGCATGAGCGCGACAGGCACGATCATGGCAGTGTAGTCCAAGGATGAGGCCGGTTGGTCAACGATCTGGTCTGATTGCAAAGTTGCCCACGGCGTATATCGCAATATTTGTAGTTCCACTCGAGTCCAGAAAGCCGCGACAAGTGTAAGAACTGTTTCCAGTAGATGTTAGAATTCAAGATGTACCACTTGGGAGACTGTCATCGGATGTCCATACAAGCTGTTGCCCCAAATCTCCATGACCTCACAAACTCTCTATCGACTTCGCCCAAGCCGCGAAGTCTGTCTGAGTACAGCAACATGCAGGGAAGCGCTACCGTACAGCAAAGAAAGAGAATGAAAAAAAGGGCGATAACATAATATCGCAGCCAAAACGGACGCCATGCTGGCTTAGTCGTTGGGGGAACGTGGTCAGCAGACTGATAAGATGTCGCGGAGGTCTTGGGAGCTTCAAAACCCCCAATTGTGGTTTCGGTTTTAGATTGTTTGGCCGGAGAGCGATCGCGATGAAGGTCTAAAAGGCGAACATCTTCTCGGGGTCCGAATTCCGAGGATAACCTGCTTGGCGCTTCATCCACGCTGGCTCTATGACCCCCAAACTCGCCCCGAGCCACGCTGTTGTCCCTCATCTGGCCCGATCGTGGGTCTTGCCCATGCCCAACTACTGATGAGTGGCAGTTGTGAGTGTTCGTGTTTCGGTTTTCGGTAGTCTTAGGGCTCTATCAAAAGATCGTGAAAAGCCCGGCCCTGGGCAGGGGAATGTAATCCGCCTTTATAATTGAAAGCCCACCGCTGCCTGCACTGCCGACATTAGCGGATAAAAATAAACAATATGGGACTTTTGTACTTGAATACCCCCGTAACCTACTTGGGAAAAGGCTCTCGCCGCTTAATCAACCAAGTTTTACAGATATAACGTTATGTGCAGTGCAACTAACTGGATTGAAAGATGTTACAAAGAGATTAACGATAGAAATTCTTACCTTAACGCTATCAAGGTATGTTTTCACATGATAAATAGTCGTTCCACGCCATTTCAGAAGAATAATGGCCCGCTCACGGTCACAGTCGCGCGTATGGCGACCCCTGCCAAGGTGTCAGCCTAGAAATGGACTTTGGTCTCACATCCATGCGGTGACATTACTCTGCTGATCTTCACGGCAATGGAAAGGACTGCCAAGACAGCATATTTCATGCCTCTAGGCCCAAGGGGACCTAGCCTAGTTATCATAAACCCCTGTATCCCCGTCTTTCCTTTACGCGCTGCCTGCCAACCTGTTCATCGGGACGTCTAAGGCCAGCTCGCAATTTCACTTCTGATTGGCCAGAGTATATATAAGCCTTTTTTCACAGAGGAGTGTAAAGCTAGGACCAAGTTAGAGTATGGAAACCGCAGGATAGGAACTTTATAGATATTCAAGATATCTATTTAGCTTTATTAGCAAGCTTATAAGACTCTATGCTATTTATACTAATAATACTCACTTAATTAACTATATATAATAAATATATACCTATAGATCTATTTCTAATCCCTGCTGCTCTTAACTATAAGCTTTAGAGATTCTTATTATATACTCGTAGGTAAATTCCTTATATAGGGTAGATATATTGCGAGTGTGGGGTCGAGTGATCGGACCCTTGCTGTGATTTTGGCGCTACTGTGTGATACCTTTTAAAATGGAATATGTGTTACTTCCGTGGTTTCTTTAGTTCTTTAACAACACATGAGCAACGCGTTGCACAATTGATTGATAGTTCATTGCCTCTCGTAAAGGGCAAAACTTGTAACAAGTCATTGTTAAAGCTAAATGAATTGACAATTGATTCACTACTCTAAAAATAGAGGTGAAAAGGGGGGCGACCTTGGTAGAATCTATTTGGATATTTACATCCATAGCCTCGAGGATTAATGACAATCTCCTGTCCTTGCGTAACTAGGCATTCTAATAACTTAGTGTCCTTTCTCTTCTAAATGTGATGCATCTTCCTACGACTGATTTTATTTCCACATACAGTACACCCAAGACTAATACCCCTATCTCCCTCATCGTCGCGAACCCCTTCATCGGTTGCTACACCACGCATCGCTAGTAATTTTAAACCCCAAAGTGGACAAACGGGGCCCAATAAATTGGTCCTTCCTCACAGCCAACCATATCTCTGCCCTCCCTCGAAGTACAACACATCTTCTGGTTGCCTTGACCGTCATGACATTCTCCTCCGTCGAGACCACGCTGGGCTCGGTCTAAGCCTGAACCATCGATCATCCACTCATCTCGCTGTATTCTGGTAGCATGGTGAAGTCCCTCGCCGACCGATCCACCTCTCATGTTGTGATCCTCAATCCACTTGTAAGTCATCTTTGCTACTTCAACGTAGAACTGATCGTTGACTCTACGCAGAGTTCCGATAATATTCCGAAAGCCCGCTAGGTGACACGCACTTATCAGATGTAGCCCTTCATCGCCAAGTCGTTCATCTTCTGTGTAGCCCGTACTGCATGCCGAGAGATATGCAAGAAACGGAGCTCTCTGGTACAGCTTCAAACTGAATAAGTCTTGAACAGTCACTGGCCCATCTTCCATTTTTAGGGAGCTTTGGGATGGATCAAGCTGATGTGACGATCCATGACCTGCAAAGTGGAATATCTCACACTCGGCCAAGGATAAGAGGACATCTTCTCGGTAGGGTTCCAGCCTCTGTATTTCCAGCCCCATCCCAGCGCATAGCTTTCCAAGCTCGTTGACTTCCTCCGGGGCATAACAGAGCTCTTTGACCCCAACTAAAACCGCCTTTCCTAATTTTCGAGAAGCTGGCAGACTTACAGTGTTCTGCCGGCCCTGAATGAGAGCTTTGACAGACGAGCTGTAGCTAGTGACCGCGCGATCTATCACAGTGTTGGTTGAGCTGGGATAATGGTAGCCTGCTGCGTGGATAGGCAAAGTTGATAAAGGCCGTGTGGGAATCCAGAAGATACGAGGCCAGGTAGAACTTGTAGGTACATCAGAATAGCCCAAGTTCTCCAATACTGGGCTAGCTATCCCATCCCAGAGCCACTCTAGTGTTTGTCGGTCAATTTCTGGCTTTGTAGCGAAGTTTTTAACGTCGCCATATAAGACTGGAAGCTCTAGCGACGTAAATCTGTCCTTCTGTATAATCAGGGCATCGGTCCGGAGGTACATAACGTTAATGATAACCACTGGACCATTGATTGCTGCGGACTTCAACTGATCCTCTGATGGAGGAAGTAGAAACCTATCGTACCCTGGTAATTTCCGAATCTCGTCAATCACCGAGTTCAGTTTTCGGCCCATCTCATGTCGTGGGTTTGTAAACCCTGTTAAGAGGCCCGGTTTGGTGTCTAATTGGTCGGAAAGTTGTATAAATTGCTGTGCCAGCTCGGGATAACTGACTTGTAGATCATGCATCTCGATTCGTAGATCACTTAAAGAGCTCAATATGATACCTCGTCCAAGTTCAAGGTATTGAATCACTTGATGCAGGTCCTCGCCTGCCATCAAAGCGAGGGCTCCAGCAATACAAGGCAAACCACTCGTTCTTCTTAGCAAAACTTGCATATCGGAAACCTCCAATGACCGAGGCGTTAGTTGAGAAACGAGATCAAGCGTTTCAATGACAACCTTGTATGCGGTCGGGATATCCGCAGTGTCCATAAGTAGGCAGGCGAGGGAGATTCCCGCTTGTATTCGGATCCATAAAGTCGTGTGCTGATTTTCAAAAGCCCGAGGAAGCATCTCTAATGCCATGTCAAGATCTGGTTTCGTGTCTTTTCTTTGAAACCGCTGCTGATAGCTCTCGGCTAGGAAGAACAACCGACTACCTCGCATTGGATGATCGTCTGGAGTCAAATCGAGAGCATGTTGAAATATTCTCAAATACTGAGTCGGGGCCTACTTATTAATTTGGCCAGGTTAGATAAATTAGCTATTTTTCTATATCTATAGTAAAAGATATACTTTTTACCCCTTCTTATTTTTACTTTTAAAAATCCCTTCTTATAAAAGATATATCTTTTATAATTTTATAATAGCTATAATTAGTTAATTAACTAGCTATAAATATAATCTATTTAATTAAATAAGAATATATATAAAACTTAAAACCTTCTTTTTATAGCTATTATAGAAGGTTATTAGATTTTAGTATAGTTAGTAGTCTATATTTTAAGCTTACTAATAGCTATAATATTATTTATTTTTCCTCTTAATATAAATAGAGGTCTTAGTAGGAAGATATATAATTAAACTCTAAGTAATCTAAATACTCCTTAACCTATAGATTAAAATAATTAGGTAAAAAGAGAATAGATATAATATCTTTTAGCTATTATAAGAACCCTTTTCTAATAGGGGATTTATATATAAGAATCTTATAAGTAAGAACTATAGAATAGAAAGAATATAATAACTATAGATATATATTTAACCCTAACTACTAATTAATATATTAATTAAAGATTTTAGCTAAAACTTAGATTTCTCTTTAGCCTTAAGAAACTACTAGAAAGTCTAGTATTAATAAAAACTAATTATCTCTAAACTAATCTAGTTCTAAAGAGCTAAAGGATTTATTATATAAGTTATTTACTTAAAAGGAAATTAAATAAAAAGAATAAAGTTATTACTACTCTATCCCTCTTATTAGCTTAATTAAAGAATAAGAAAAGAAAGGAAATTAAATTAAGATTTTTAGAAGAGAGATTAATATAGATAAATATAGTATTATTCTTTAGATATAAGTAATCTTTCTTTTTACTATTTATTTTATAATTATTCTAACTTTTATAATAGAATTACTATAAGAACTAGTTTAACTATTTAATTAGATATTTTTAATAATATCTAAAAAACCTTAAAATAATCTAGCTAGTAGTAGCTATTAAGATAAATTATCCTGAAATAATCTTATATTAGTATTAATATATACTATTAAGAAAATTAACCCTTTTATCTATATACTTATAATAGATTAATAGTTTAATAGGTATAATATTATTTTATTTCTTAAATAATATAATAATATAATAGAAATAAGAGGCTTATTAAGAAAGTATTATCTTAACTAGTTAGAGTTTAATATCTCTAAGAATAAGTAATTAAGGGTTAAGTATTATATTAAGGATCTAGACTATTAGGATAAAATTAAAGCTTAACTTAAGAAAGAATATTAGTATCTTAATTAAGATTAGAATATCTCTCTACTAAAAGAGATAGAATAAATTAATAAGATAAAACTAAAAAATAACCTCTATAAGATTAAAGATATTTTAATTAAATATTACTACTTCTAGAAGAAAGATTAAAAGCCTAACTAAAAGTTATTTATAAGCTAGTTAGAGAATCTTTATAAATTAATATCTCTAGAGATATTCTATAAGATATAAAATAGAAATAATTTTACTATAAAGAAGCTTTATTCCCTTCTATATAAAACTTTATAGGAAATATTTATATAATTTATTAGAGATTAAATTAAAATCTTTAAAGATTATAAATAAATTAATAATAAGAATATTCTATATAAAGCTAGGTAGTAAGAGTAATATATAACTTAGTTATAAGATCCTTTAATTAAATAAACTAAAATTATAAAATAAGTATAAATCTTAGAACTATTCTTTTATTAGGAATAAGCTCTAATAGTCTTTTAGATTAGTTAAGAGAAAACTATAAAAGTCTCTATAAATAACCTAATAGTTTAGATAAATAATTTAACTATCTCTATATAATAAATAAATAAGAGAATTAAAATCCTAACTTCTTTCTCTTTAAGGATAATAGAGGTTTATTTATATATCTAAATCCTAATAAAGTAGAACCCTTAAAATAGCTATATAAATATAATTAAGATATAGAATAAGCTAATTAATAATAGAGGATTTAATTAAATAAATCTAATAGAAATTAATACTTTAATAGCTTATAATTATAATAAAATATATTAGTATTATAAAAGCTCTAATTACTATCCTAATTAATATATAGATCTTAAAATTAATAAAAAAGCTAGATTTATCTACTATAAATACCTAGCTAGTATTTTATATTTAGAATCTAAAAAAGAAAAAGTCCTTTTAGTACTAATTAATTACTATAAGTAAATATTAAATATATAAAGACTTACTATTTACTATATAAGATAATTTCCTTATTATAATTCTAACTTAGCTTAGTATATAGTAAGGATATATAATACTAATCTATTAAAGTAGATAATTACTCTAAAGAAGGAAGAAACTATAGACTAAATTATAAAAAGAATTAGAAATAATTAATCTCTTAAGATTCCTACTCCTAAGAATAATAAGTATCTCCCTAGCTATATAATAGCTATAATAAGAGAAGATAGCTTTAAGAGACTAGGCTTAATAACTATATCTTATATTAGCCTAGTTAATCTAAGTATTAGAATAATCTATAATAGATTAGAACTATTTAATTAAATAGGTTATATTTATATAATTAAAATAAATTTAACTAATTTAAAGTATAGAAAATAGAATAAAGAGAGCTCCTTATATATTATATATTATAATCCTAAAGATATATTAATAAGGTATAAAGAACTAATAAACTATAGCTTTCTATAAGTATTTAAAATAGTAGCTAATTTATATAGAGAAGTTATAGAGTAGGAACTTATTAGGAAATAGTTAGTTATAAAGACTATAGAGAGTAATAAAATTACTATTAAGATTTTTAAAATTATCTAATTTAATTCTACTTTTAGAGAGCTTCTTATAGAAGAATACTTTAGTTAAGTATATAGACCTAAGTAAGTAGTTAAGAATACTCTATTAACTAATAATACTCTATTATATTAACCTAGGAGATATAATACTAGAGTTAATATAGTTAAAATCTAAAATTCTAAGAGCTCTAGATAAATTATAAATAAAATTATATTAATCTAAGGGCTATATAATAAAATTTATAAATATATAATTAGGAAAGATATAGAGAATTATTCTTCTAAGAGTAATAAAAAGATTACTTTTTAGCTTATAACTCTATAATTATATAAATTAGATTATAATTAATATCTAGAAGTATTTAATTAAATAGATTCTAATAAGATAGAATATAAATTAGTTAATATATAAAAAGATATATAGATTTAGAGATAAATAGTTATAAACTTATAAGAAACTACTATAAGTAACTAGATATCTATTAATTATATATTTATAAACTATTTAGAAGAATAAATAGTTAAAAGCTATTAAAACCTCCTTTATATATCTATATAACTATAATAAGTAGATAATCAGATTTATAATACTTTAATTAATATAGAAATATAAGTAAATATTATAGCTCTTAAAATAGTTTAAGAATATAAATTAGTAATCTATCTAATATCTAATATAATTATAATCTCCTTTTTAAACTATATAATAAAGATAATAGAGAGAATATATATAAAGATATTCCTTAGAAGTATATCTTTAGAATAAATTATTTATATAATAAAAGAAAGGGATATATTTTCTATTAAGTTTATCTTAGAAATACTCTTTATTAGATCTTACTAGATCTCCTTTAACTATAGAAATAGAAATAGTAATCTATTTATATAAGTTATTATTAATAGTATCTATATAATAATTATTATTATAAGAGGAGTTTATTATAGGAATCCTAATATACTAAAGATAATTATAACCCCTTATATAAATAAGTAATTAAGTATATATTCTATACTAATAAATAAAATATAACCTTAAGATATATAAAAGCTCTATAATCTATTTATTTATATTAATAATTAGATTATATAGGATTATATTAATTATATCTATATAATAATAATTATAACTCTATATATAGAGGAGTAATTTAGTATAAATCTAATATTACTAGAAGAATTATAATCTTAAGGAATAAAAAAACTTAATAAACTATTTAATTAAGTAAATTCTAATCCTAGGGAACTATTATAAATATTTTATATCTCTCTAAAAGAAGTAAATAGAATTATAAGTATAAAGATTAATAAGGGAGATATTATTATCTCTATCTCTAATAATAAAGTTAAAATTATTCTCTAGAAAGTTTTAAAAGCTTAGTTACTTATTTATAATAAGTAATATAAATAAACTACTAAATAAAGTAATTTTTATAAGAATAAAATAAAATATTTTAAAAAATATCTTAGTAGAGATATAAATATACTAAATATTAGTATAAATATAATATATAAACTAAAGTATAAGAAAATTAATTCTTTTAATAATATTCTAACTAATAGTTTAGTATTTAATAGTAATACTAATTAATAAGAGAAGAAATAAACTAAAGCTCTATTAATACTTAATATATTATACTTTTTTTCTAAGTAGATTATTAGTAAGTTCTTTAATATTAAGATAAGCTTTAGGCTTATAAAGGAGTATTTAGATATTATTTTATTATAAGTAAAAAACTTCTTAATAGAAAAAGAGCTAAAAGTATTTATTTAAATACTTTATAACTAAGAAAAGATAATAGTATAAACTTTTAAAGATTATAATTATATTAACCTAATAGTTATCCTACTTTAAGTTATCTAAGTTATTAAGTATAAGATATAATAAGTAGGTTTAATTCCTATTTTAAAAGGTTTAGAAAGTAAGATAATAGATATCCTAAGAGATTATATTAAGAAAGAAGTATTTAAAGAGTTTTATACTTCTTATAGAAACCCTTAGTTTCTTATAGTTAAGAAGAATAAAAATATAAGATTTATTAACTTAGTAATTAGAATT